GTAACGAAAAATAATTTCCAGATATAAACATACACACACACACACAGAGATACATAATTGATCTCTTATACTCAGACTCCTTCGTTTTGTTTGTTCGTTGGTTGATTTTTATATATATAAATATATTTCGGATTTGTTACGACGATCACTAGCATATTGTAATATGAATGTACATTTATACATAGAGATAGACCAGACAGTCAGACAGTCTAGCTCTAGTTCTAGTTCTAGTTCTAGTCTGGTTTAGTTTAGCTTGATTTGATTTGATTTACTCTCGTCTGATCTTGTTCTGTCCTGTACTGTCCGGTCTGGTCTGGTCTGGTCTTGTCTAATTTATGTTGGCTATGATGACCATCATATTATATTATTGTTATTATTATATATCTAGCTTGTATATATTTTATATTTCAATTAATAATAATAATAATTTGGCAAAAAGTTTGTTCCGTTCCAAAAAAAATATATATATAAAATAAAATAAAATAAAAGTATTGAAGAAAGGGTTAGCAAATTCCGCTTATCTAAACAGGACAATGATACCAATCACACTCTAAACGGTCACCATGGTAACATAATAAACTGTATGTACCCTTGGCAACTACTTTATCTAAATATACATATGTACTCATTACACAACAACAGTAATAACTAGCAACAGGTAACAGGTAACAGAACAAAGAAGGACAGTAAAGTATAAGTATTTTTTTTTTTGTTTGTTTGTGATTCCAAGATCATGGTTCCTTTTTTTATTTTATTTTATTTTATTTTATTTATTTTGGACCGGGGTTGCTGAGTCCCCACACAAGTAAAAGAAGAAGAAGAAGAAGAAAAAAAAATATGCTTCAAGTGCTACGATTCTTACACAATAAATCAAAAAAAAAAAAAGAAGGATACAGGACCAGCATTGTTTGTTTAAATGTCTCAATGTTCACTTTATCCATGCATACAGACATAAATATAAATAAATATGTACCTCTGTGTGTGGGTAGTGAGTATCTGTTTTTAGGTTTCTGTCCAAAATAACTTTCTCTGTTTGATTCCAAAATAAAAAAAAAAAAGTAAAAGAGTAATCAAGGAATGAATGACATGTAATCTGTCTGTCTATTTGTCTATCTGCCTATCTATGTGTATATATTTAGCCTCAATTCAACACACTTTGATTAAAGTACAGACAAGGTACATCGATATCAATGAATAAATGAAAAGATGCTCATTGATTCAATCTGATCTAATTTGATTTGATTTGATTGCATATTTTCCACGTGTTGATAAGAGATGTTAGCCATTCAAATCAAATGTCTCGAGAACAAATAATGATAATAATAAACAAACAAAATACAAGACAAATACTGTAAATATTACACACTAGAAAATTCCAAAAAAAATAATAAAATTTAGGGACAAATATATATATAAAATATGCTATTCTTTAAACTATTGACACAATTGTATAATCATAAATAAATAGTATCAGTGCGTTTGAAAATAAAAAATAAAATAAAATAAAGCATAAAAAAGATTCCAAACAAAATAGGAGGAATATACATTTTTTTTTTTTTTTTTTTGGGGGGGGGGGGGGGTTTGGTGGTAAATATGTAGGTAGGAAGAAGTATAAAAGTAGAGAAGTCTTTTTTTTTTTTTAAAAAAAAAGGGCAAATGTCTGGGTCTGAAATGGAACCCGGGTTTTAAAATATTATTTATAAGTTTAAATCAATAAAAACAGTAACAGATACGTCATCAATGGTTACTCTTCTTAATTTATACATATTCTAAATATATATATGTATATATATATAAATGTACTTCTTTAAGTTTCTTTTACTGGGATCAATCAAAAGTAAAAAGATCAAGCATAGATAAATAGAAGAAGTACCTCTATTTTAGAGTATTAAAACTCATCACATAATTATCATATACAAAGAGAAAAAAAAAATCAAAAATCAAGATTTTACACACTATTTACAATTTTGCACTACTATACTTTCTTTTTGCGCTACTGCACACAAAGAGAGAGAGAGAAGATATTTTTGGTTACCAAGAACCTTGAAATCATTTATCCTATTTGACGTCAGCGAACTAAAATAAAGTCAAGTCAACTCTCAACTAATAGTAGCAAATACCAAAAGCACACAAGTCATGTTTAAAAAAGAAAAAGGAACTTTGGATTCTTTGTACGTCACTGTATTACTTGAATATCTTCTTATATTATTATTTTTTATTCCACAGAATCCAATAAAATCCAACCCAATAATAATGTAAAATTTCAGTATTTCAAAAAATCAAAGTAAAATATATATATATATATATATATATATATACACAAAGAAGAACACTACAGAACTAAAGATATTATGAAATTCCAGGGAAATCGACAATGTACCTTTATATATATATGTAAGAATATGTTTATGTCTTTATGTATCTGTGAATTAATATTGAATATTGAATATTGAATACATTGTATGTAATGTAATGTTATGTAATGTAATGTATGTGTGGATATCTTCTTGCTCCTGTGCTTGCAATATTTTGTTTTCCATTTTACTACTTATTGGTATTGAAACCCCCCCCCCCTCCTCCTCCTCCCTCACCTCTCCCCCAACTTCTTTTCCCCTCCACAATTGAGGTACACCGATTATTTATCGAATGTTTAAAAAACAAGCAAACCAATAAAAAAAAATATATATACGAAAATGTATATGTGTCTACGTATACATACATATATATTTTAGACCTATTTGTCATTTCTATATTTCTATATTTGATTACCAACACATTATAGAAATTGGTCTAGATGTCTCGCAAATATTCCATTATATATACATACATACATTAGTGAGTGAGTATAGGTGTGCATAGTAATATTTTAATGTATCCAACAAATGAATAGACCAAGAATCACTATCACTATCACTATCATTAGTGCTATTATTTTATAAAATAACCCAATAATCACAAATATACATATATGTATATAAAGGAGAGGTAGTATGAAGGTTAAGATCAAGATAAAGGAGAATCCATTTTTTTTTGCTAGGAGGTCTATTGTCCAAATGAATATATGGATCTTGATCTTTCTTTAGATTCAAAAATAAACTGTTTCTCTTTGAGACCAGCCAAATTATTCACCATAGTAACACAAGCGCACAAAGATAGAGAGAAGAAATAGTATTATTCCTGTATTCTAGGTATATTTCCTGCTATTGGTTGACTGTAGACATATAAATATCTTGCTGTTATTATTTTAGGGTCTATTAACAAGAATACCCGCAGAAAATACTAGTAGAGTCCAATATTCTACAGGAATCACAATGACAGTATCAATCTATAAAGCATAATGATGATAATGATGGTATTACTAATAAAAGAAAAAAAATGAATTTCAAATACCAATTCAATGCTACTTCTTCTTGTTCTTCTTTTATATAAAAATAGATAAATGATTTCTCTTTTCCCCCCAAAAAAAAGAAAGAAAATACAGATCAATTTCATTCAAGAAGGTCATTCGTTCTTTGACTGTAATATTTATTACAAGTCATTTTGTAAATAATTCATTTCGTTTACTTGTTCAATAAAGATAATTAAAATATTAGTCAACAGCATTATTCTTTATATATATATATATATATATATATTTATAATTATTAATGCTGTATATTCTTTTCTGTATACTAACTCAATCAGGGTCCTCAAATCAAATATGTATTAACAACAAAGCGGCCATTTCTCTCTTTCTTCATTTGATTTCTTATAACTGGCCTTTCCCCCCCAAAAAGAATAATAACAAGAAAAGAGGGAGAAGTATTTATTAGCTATCATTGCCATTAGCATTAGCATTATCATTATCATTAGCATTGACATTCTTATTCTTATTTTTAATATAATAATAATAATAATAATAATTAGTCCAATTGATCTGCTCGTATTGCTTTTTTTTTTTGAAAAAAAAAAGATAGCAATGTTACCCTACTTCTTTCCTTTAGTGTATGTGTGGGCATTAAGTTCTGCAACAACAGCAACAAAAAGCACACAAATTGTTTAATAAATATAATGTTTCTCTCTTGCTTACATTCTCTTCTTTCTTTTGTGGATCTTGAAACCCTCCTGAATTATGTTTTATTTGGAAACTCCCTGAATTAGAGAATTGAATATCACTAATGTTACAAGCTTTATATTGTCAATTCATTTATATCAAATAAAATATAAATCAATTAACAGCTATTGGCTTTTTACAAATCTATCTACACACACACACATATTATTTCATTCAATATTATCCCCTTGCAGTCAATGATATGTTTGTTGCTACTGCTGTTTTTGCGTCAATAATACATATAGGAGTAAGTATAAAAGCCCTTTTTATCTTCTTCTTCTTCTTTCTCTTTTTTATTATTATTTATGAATACTTGTAGACTGTTCTTTGGTGTGTACTACAAAGGAATACATATAAGAGAGAGAGAGAGAGAGAAAGAGGCGGTTGTACGACACGGCTTCCCTTAAAGAAATATAGTTTACAGAATATATATCATATTCAAAAGTACAAGTAGATATGTTTATTTGGAGGGAAAACAAGCAAAAAAAGTCATACAAGTAAATCAAGGAATAGAAAAAGAAAATGAATCCAACAAAAGAGGGCTGAATTGATGAGTAGGTCCAGGTATATGATATATAGGAGACAGCACAATATCTACATTTATAAGTGTAAAGAAACTTTCTTTAAAAAAGGAAAATCTTACAACCTCGCCGTTTGTCGTGTTACTCATAAACAAGTTCAACCAAAAAGGTTTATCACACACACACACAGAGAGAGAGAGAGACAAACAAGCTTTTAAGGAGACAATGAAAGTAAAACTAAAAGCAAAATAAAGAAACATGGTATTCTTACACAAGAAAGTAGATAAATCCTATTCTTATTTTTTTTCTCTCTCTCTTTTTCTCTTTCTTTATTATTGACATATATATATAATTTATTAATGATAGTTAATGGTTCAGAAGATGCAATGTCAGTCAGAATGCAGCTTCCGTCTGGTGTAGTTGGGCCAGACGTACTCGAGATAGTTTCTGAAGTCATATCCTTGACTTGTATCACAGTCCTCGGTGTCGCAATGGGCTCAAAAACGTATGGAGAGCAGATAAAGACAGTGAACTATGGGCGAGTCCTGGTCATTCTGTTGTATTTCCTCTCCTGGGCATTTGCAACCACATCAGTAGTCCTGGTATCTACGAACAACAGTATGTATGAATTATCTATATTTATAAACATATAATATCTTTATGTACTAACCAATACTCTAGATAACATGATTTCTTGTACATTGGCTATGCTCACATGCGATATCTTTTATGCTGGCAGTAAAGTGGCAATCTATGCATGGTAAATATAGAATCTAATATATTTCTTATCAATTTTAATTAATTTTATGTATATATGTATATGTATATTGGTCGATTCTTATTTTATTTTTTTACAAAAGGTTAGTAGAGAGAGTTCATCTAGTAACAGCCGTAAAGACAACACGTCTCAAGACATGTGAATACAGAGTCCATGTATTACTGCTGTGTCCATATATAATCATCTTTGCTCTTATGGTAAGTTTATATTTCTACAATAATAACAGCAATGTACTTTAATATTTATAGCAGCCTTGAATAAAATTCTTATAATAAATCCTAAATATGTATTTTGGAGGTTTTTTTTTTTTTTTTAGCTTGCATACAGAAATATCTATCTTGAGCCAGATGGTAAATGTACCATTGGATTACAACCGGTTGCCAGTGTTCCATTACTGGTAATTTTTAGCAAAAATACAGATATATATATATATATATATTAAATACTACTTTAAACGCATAACAAGGATACTTAAAAAAATCATTAAATATCTCACTATCTCTCTATTTTAATCCTTAATATTTTTCTTTTATCTGACTACTTGATCTGTTGAACTTGCCTGTTTGTGTATCTATCGGTCTACCAATTCGTGCAACATTTCTAATATGTCCAATATGCCTATCTTTCTATTTTATATGATAGGTTTACGATTTTGTATGTAATTAACATAATTGAAATATGTTTGTGTGCACAAGCATATTTTTTTTTATTTTATTTTTTATTGTTAAACTAAGAATTTCAAAAAATAATAATAATATTGTTTGATAGTTATTTAACCTTTATTTGACCTGGCTGTTTATGAGACCGTTGATGAACGTTGGTCGTAATTCGCGCATGGACTGGCGAAGATCGAGACTGTACAAACTGGCCCGTCGTACACTTGTAGCCTCTCTGGTATCTCTCTTGGTGTCCTTTGCCAATGTGTTGGTTGTTGTGATTACTCAAGGTCATGAAAGAGGACTAGTGTGTTTGACCATGTGCACGGTTGATGTAACTGTAAGAATATGAATTTATTATATACTATCTACCATTCTTATCATTCTTTTTCTTTTAATATATATATATATATATATATATATAGGTAAATGTTGTTACAGTACATTGGGCAAGTACAATTTTATTTTGTTTTGTTTTGTCGCTTAGACTAAAAAAAAAAAGATTGTATATCTAATGTCTAATTGTTTACTTGATGTATAGGTAACCACATCTACTTCTCGTAAGAACAAGGATCCTCGACAAAAGGCTGTCAATAGGGCTGACAATACAGCTACGGAAATAATGACCTTTGATACTGGAGAGCCAGGAACAAAGTCTCAAAAGATCATCAAGAATTCTTCACCCATGCCACATATTGATAGTCTTTCTTACGACAATGACAGTGACAGTGGACGATCGATCCAGACATCAAACACTAGTGCAAAACCCCTTCACCGATACTGATCTATTATAAAAGATTAAATAGAGAGAAAAGAAAATCTATATATGAATATAATCATGATTGTGATTTCTCTCTATCTATTGATCTATTGATCTCTTTTCTATAATAATTATATATTTAATTTAATTTATTGTTCCTTTCTCTTTCTCTTTTTTTTTTGTATATAAAAAAAAAAGAAAATGGTATAATCTTTCTATATTCACATTCTAATTTCTATAATAAATAAATAAAAAAGTCTAATTTAATGGAATTCGATTGAATTGAATCTTTACGCCTTTAGGATAAAACTGCTCAGTTTAGAAAATTTATTCACTTTAATAAAATCAATAGAAAAATATATATTTTCTGTATCTGATGTTATTGTTATTATTATCCTTGTTGATCCGAATCAGATCTATATAATGATTCAACGTTCTTTCTTTTGTTCTTTATATTTATATATATTATGTATATATATAATAAAATAAAAAGGAAAATGAGGGGGGAGGGGGGGTTTGAATGGTAATAATATATAAATTTTAGATCTATAGAAGAGATCTTGGGGGGGGGGGGGAGTGTAAAAAGAAAAAGAAAGAAAAAGGAACCACGTAAATTTTTATTTTTTTTTGGTTTATCAGATGGTGGAGTTGATTTGATCTTTTAGGTATTCATTGGCTACTATTATTTTCATTCTTATTGATTGTTCTATAGCTAACAGTAAAACGATGGCAACAAACAATAAGAATGTATAAATTGACAATTGATAAGTAACGATGGCAACAGTCATCGGTATCCAAACTAATGGCATGTTTGTCTGTATACTTTTTCATAAAAATGTTAAAATAATTGCGTTTAACAAGACTAAAAAAATAAATAAAAATTAAGTCAGGGTCCATATAATTTTTTTTTTCTATTTAAATTTCTTTTTTCTACAAATCAGCCAAACAAAAAAAACAAATCCAATACACAGGCACAAATATTGTTGTAATTGCTGATTCTTTCTTTTTTTTTTTTTTTTGGTATATAAAAAATAAAATAAAAAAGATCTGATAAGATATTTCTGCAAGGTGTAACACCAACTTTTTTTTTGGCAGCACACAAAAAAAACACATTTAACCGGAGATTAAACTTTGTTTACATAAAAGAAACAAAGAAACAAAATTCAAATTCAAACTCAAATTCAAATTCAAATCTACAAAGGACACACATATATTTATTTTACGAACACACACAAACAAACACAAAATAAAATAAAAAGACAACGTCATTTGTGACTCATTTGTCATGATCGAGGCACAGCCAATAAGGTTTATCCTGAGATCTAAAAGTGCCTTGCTGGGTTGAAGCTTGACAACGGACCATTGGCAGTTTTACCTCTAACTTTTTTATTTTTGAATCTAATGAGAAAAAAAAAAGGGGGGAGAAGAAAAGGGAGAAAAGGGAGAAAAGGGAAATGAAAGGGAAAACCAGTGGAATTTCAAAAGCAAGATATCATTATTGCTGTTGTTGTTTCAATAAAACCCACGCATATATATACTGAAAAGGTGACCTTGCTATTGGATATCGATGTTATGATTAATAGTAGTAGGAGTGATATGTATAATGTACTCATTTTACTGTTAGAAATACCAACAAATGATGAATTGCTTATAATACTACAAACAACGTGTCAATTAAATAAGATCTATGCATATACATATACATATATGTTTGTGCGTGTGAGAAAGCGTGTCTTGTTGAATACAACATTCTTAAATGTTTATTTTGTACTTATGGTTGCCATGGATCCAGACTTTCTTTCTTTTATTGATTGATATACTTATTTTTTGTGCTTATAAAAAACCAAGCTAAATTTGATTGTATTGTAATAAGAAGAGTGCTATACTACAATATTCTTATATATTTAAAGATATAGATATAAAGAAAAGTAAAAAGAAGCATATAAGCAAGCATTGATTGCTTTCATTATTATTATTTTGGGGATTTAGGGTAATGTAAAGTCCATTGTGTTTCAATTTGAAAGTTCAATGATTTCATTTGAATTATCCAATACCAAATAGAATACAGCATTCATTTTAATAATAATCGTGCCCTGATGCTTAAAAGACTTTCTTTGGCCAGCACATTATATTGTAGTGTATCAGAATAAAATACAAACATACAGCCATAAAAATATACTGTATTATATATTAAATTTTAAATGAAAGTTACGATTGGCTAGATAAGAAGGTCTCGGACAAGCAAAAATAATAATAATAATAATAATATATATATATATATAATGAAATTTAGATTACACTGCAAAAACTGTGTATAATCTTCCTTCTGGTTCTTGTTGTTTATATTATACATATATACATGTAATATACACATGCTCTTTTACAGATTGTAGAATCGTCCAATAAGATTCATTAGATCTATCCACACACGCACATACTCGCGCACGCACACTTTTTCTTTCTTTTACCATTAAAATAATAATAAAACTCATCTAATTTTATCCAGGTACAGCTAATTAAACATGTACACAGCACACAAATAAAATCTATCAATCTACTGATTTATCTATTAATCAGTCAATCAATCGATCAAGAAAAAGAAAAAGAAAGACAAAGTCCGTGCTTATTTTCCGTAAACCCCACAAGCCGTCTGTTCTCTTTAGTTTTATTTTGCTCTCTATTTATTGTCTGGTGTATTAACAGACCCCGCGATATCACGTTCCGTGACTGTGTGATAAGCACTCCAGGTACCACAAAGAAATAAAGAAAATTTGGGGGGAGACGGATACGGAGACGAGAAAGAGGATTCTTTTGATTGTCCTTAGGATTAAATACATTGGACTCAATCAAAAATAAATAAATAAAATTAAAATATAAATGCTTGGATTTTGGTATCTGTCGACATTATTTTTTTCTTCTTCTATAATTAAAGATTTAATATGTTCAGGCTATTGCAGTAATAATGATAATATTTTCTGTTTTTAGGGTTTTCACAGAAACAAAAGGACATTTCAACTACTTGTATTCTTTATCTTTATTTTCATTGTGTGTATAATATATATATATATATATATATATATTTCACCCTAAAATATACTTAATCATGCATTTCTCACAAATCTTATTACATGTTCTAGCCAAATTATAATAATATCCTTAAAGGAATAATAAAACAAAAGATAGAGAGAAGGGGCGAAGGGAAATAGGAGCAAAAAGAAGCAGAAGAAGTAGAAGAAAAAGGATTAAGATGATGATATTAATGTCCCATCTTCTTAGCTAGCAATAATGATAATCATCACAAGAAAACACAATTTTCATTTGTATAGTTTCTCGCACGGCTCTTTCTCTCTCTCTCTCTCTGCAAGGGACTAGTCTTTGATATACATATATATTTTTGAAAGAAAACGTGTTTGAGGATCTCTTTTCTCTTTCTTTCTATAGAGCCAAACTAGTACTTTTACCTATAGTACAATATAATTATTTTAGATGATGTTGATCAATTATACCTTTTTTAAAAGAAAACTCTAAATTTCAATCTGTTTTCAGTGGGTATTTATTGATATAGAATTTTTGTAATAACAATAAACAATATGAAATAGTGCTTGGAATGTTTCAAATGTGTAAAAGGAAAAGGGGAAATTGGTTATTACCATTATTGAAAGCCAAGAAGAAGGTATATCATTAGTGTTGGTGTATGCATGTATGTTCTCCCAGTTCAATAATACATAATGACGTACAATGAAAGAGAGTTCTGGGAAACATGCAAGCTTTTAATTATTGTTGTTGTTGTTTCACTCATACAGAGTCAATAGAGAAATAAAGAAACTAAATAAGGAATATTTGGACATTTGCTTTAGGATTTAGATTTGATTCGGGGTACATCTACATACAAATATGCATGTATCTATATGTATCGTGTTATCTTTAAACAAGTTGTAATCCGGATCTTAATTACCTTGATTTGGCTTGGTTTTTGTGCTCATTCAAAATTATTCATTATCCTCCTCCTTAGTTTTTTGTACCTTTTATAACATGATAATTATAACAATCAAAAGGCAAAAACTGATTTGAAATACTTTATAAAGAGAATGAATACCAAAAAAAAAAACAAATCAAGATTTTACACAATAATAATAGTAAAATATATATATTGATTGAATAGCATCAAGGACAACAAATTATAATTGTATAATTATATATATTTTTTTTGAGGGGGTTTGGGTTTGGGTTTGATTCTTTTTTTTTTTTTTTTTTTTTTTTTGGAGAAAAGGGGGAGTGTAGTTATGATGGTGGTGGTGGTGGTGGTAGTGATGATGATGATGATAATGAAGTTAAAAAAAAATAAAAGAGAAAGGGAATGTGGTGAGTAAATGAGCAAGTGAGTGAGTGGGTTTATGTTAGATACGTTTAGGTAGCCTTCTTGATCTTAAAGTTCTTGGAGGCAAAGGTACAGTCCTCATCAGACTTCTTGGATGAGACGACAAGTCCATAGTAGTAGCTTGCACTCTCATCAACAGGGTTGGCCTGGGGTAGGACAACCTGGTCTTTGATGGTCACAATGTTGGTGAAGCTCTCGTCGCCAGTCCAGACAGTATCGACCAGCTCGTCTTCTTCAGTGTCGCCCTTGACCTTGTAGAGGAGAACTTTCTTGAGAGTGCCGGTCTGGGAAGACGAGTCACGTTCGGCAATGATGGCTGCATGCTCACCCTCTGTGTAGACCTTACCCTCCTTGGGAGACTTGACTTCCAGACCAAAGCAGCCCTTAAAGTGCTCAGGGTGGTAGTATGCAGCATTGTTCAAGGCCTGGCTGTATTGAGTCGAGCCATCATCATTGGTGTGCAGACCAGTGGTGACCTTGAATGTGTGGGTTGTTTCCAAGCAATCTGGACCATGTTGACCATTGATCTGATTTGTGACCCAGACACTATATATATATAAAATAATAAAAATTTTAATTACAGTTTTAGTATTCCAGTCAAGTTATTTTTAGTCATTATTGGTTATTTTATGATCAAGTTTAATTAGTCAAAAATAGTTAAGCTAATACAATGAATTTTACCGGTAGTAGTAAAGACCTGCAGAGGCATTCTGGGGGATTGTGTCAGGGATCGATGCCTGCTGGTTCAATTCATAGCTTCCGTGCCAGACGTTCTTTACATACTGAGCCTGTCCAGTAGCCGATACCGAGTAAAGCTGTCAAATACAATAAAAATGAAATATTAATTCAAGAAAAAAAATATTTGTATGTATGTATATGTAAAAGTGCGTAGTATTCTTACATCAAGACCTGTGACGGTCTTTGTGTGTGCATCAGGTACTCTGTCTAATAATAAAATAAAACAAATAAAAAGGCATCTATCTTTAGTATGTTGAATCGTTTGTTAGACGATAACTTACTGACTGTGACCTTTGCTTCTGAACCAGCAACGAATACAGCGTTCTCATCGGGAGAGGGTACAGTCAGACCTATGGATCATCGATAGTTGATTTAATGTCTGGATCGGTTTGAATATATTAAATAAAATAATGTACCTTTGCACCACTCTTTAATTGCATCGGCGTACTCGTCTGCCTTGGTAAGGGTAACACAGCTGGCAAGAAGGACGGCAGAGAGTGTGGCAAGAGAGAATCTCATATTGTGTATAAAAGGTAAGAAGAAGAAGAAGAAGAAGAAGAAGGGGTGGGGGAAAAAGAGAGGGAAAGAAATAGAGAAAGAAAGGAAAAAAAAATTATATAAAATAAATAAAATAAATATTTAACCAACTAACTAAAAAAAGAATAAAAAAATTATAAAAATAAATAAGTAGAGAGATAAAAATAAAACTTGGAGGAGATTGAACAAGTCAAAAGGGGGTGGGATTAGGAAAGGTGGGGGAAATAAAGAAAGGTAAGTAAGGGGTATAGAAATAAAAGAAAAGAAATACGATACCTAAAATCAAGAACAGATACACAAAGAATAGAAGAATAGAAGAAGTGTATGGTGTCAATTGCTCAATACACACACACATATATATATATATATATATATATACACACATAATCTTGTTTTATTTTTTATTTTTTAAAATTTATTTATTTATTCAGTGATTTCAAATATCTCGGATTCATATTGACAGGATTGATCACCCTGATCAACATTAGCGCTACAAAGGATATACAAGATGGTCAATTTATTATTATTATTATCATATAGTCAAAAAGAGAAGGAAGAGGAAGAGGAAGAGGAAGAAGAAGTTCAAGCCCAAGGAGTCAAATGAATAAATATATAAAAGAAAGAAGTGTAATGCGGGTTATCAACAGTAATTATAGATTTTTGAAGTTCAGTAAAGTATAAAAATCAAATAGGTAAAATATGTATATTAAGCTTACCGGAACCAAAAATGATTTGGTAAGGTTGTGTTGAGTCGATTGAGGTCTTGCTGAATTGCAGTGATTTTGCTCATCTGGTCCTTTTCATCACTAGTCCATACAACCATACTCAACGTCTTTTCATCCTCTTTACGGACAATCGAAACCTCACTCAGGCTTGCGTTCTCTATCCTACTACCTACATAAATAAAATAATCACATTACATTACATGTCATTCAATATATATATATACTTATTTTGATTGGTGGTTGTTGGTTATTTTTAGTTTATAGATACCAATCCTAATTAACCACCCCTCCTTCCCTTCCCCTCCCCCTCTTGCTCTTTTTCACCAATCTCCTCCCATCCTTAAAATATATACATGTCTTTCAAACTAATCCTAATTTATATAATAATAATTTATTTATATTTATATTTAATTAATTATTATTTTCTTTAAAAAAAAAAAAAAAACCTTACCCAAGATGAGATAAATCGTTTGTTCTTCACTCCGGTGCACGACGGTACTCGCACTTGGGTACAAAACATCGACGCCTACAAACCAAACCAAACCAAACCAAAAAAAAAAAAAAGTCATACGATATATAGTATATTATGAATGTAAGTAACCTTGTTAAGAAGAGTAATATAAAATAATATAATATAAACCTTGGCAGCCTGTATCTCTTGTTACTAGATGCGGTGCTCCTGCACTAGGGTTCACCAGACCACCAATAATCACCAGAATACAAAGCACAAAGGCTGTCAAGTTAGAGAACATCGCGTAGATCAAAATGAACAAGATTATATTTGAAAGATAGATATATATATATATACAAAAGTTATTTTTAAAGAAAGAAAGAAAAGGTTTGCAAGCGAACAAGCGAACAAGCGAATAAAAAGGTAAGAAAAGAGAGAGAGAGAGAGAGAGAAAAAAAAAAGGGAACCAAAAAATAAAATAAAAAAATAAAAACCTTGTTTTCTTTGCCAGTTCAACTGCATGATGAACCAGTAGAAGCTTTTGAATGACAGTGGCTTGTAAGACAGAAAGGTCGAAAGGCCTTTTATATATATATCTCTTGTTCTATTAATGACTTTTTTTCTGGTATAGAGTAAGGGTAGGTAAAGGTAAGATAATGTACTGTAATATATTGTAGAATGTCAAATTCTATTTTTAAAGAAGATAGGTAACAATTTATAGATAAAATATAAAGGGCCCTTTACATACATAAATAGATATATACATTGTTGGCATGTATATGTTCTAGAAGCAAAAATCTAGCAAGCCAACAGTCAAAAGTTAATAGGTAGAAAACCAAATTATCTTTTAAAAAGAAAAAGAAAAAATATAGCTAAATTATATACACATACAAATTTGTGTAATGTATTTATAAATCATCATCCTCATCACCAATTCATAATACAATGACCCAGATCCAACCCTCTCTTTCTCTCCTTTATATTTCTTTTGTTCCCCTGGATATTATAAAATCATGTAAATATATACACAATAGAGATAGCGCAACATATTCTTACAGTCTAATAACCCACATTGACTTGTATTTGTATTCTACCCAGAATATTACATATACACTATTCTGATTATTGAAACAAAAAAATAAATAAAACAGGAATATCTGGTTTTATTATAGAACCAAAGGCCCAGACCAGTATCATATTTGAATATGTCATTTCTTTTATGTACTAGAAACATTATCAACACATTTTTCTTTTCTTGTTCTGATCTCATTATGAGAGGACCCTTTTTTTTTATATTACTTTTATTATTCTTCTTCCTTTAATAAACAAATACATTTCTTTCTTTTTAGACTAGTTCTTGCGGGATAAAGTTGCAGCTACAATAATAGTAACATATCATAGTATGTGTATATATTAAGGGCCCCAATTTTTTTTTGTATAATATATACGAGAGAAGGAGGAAGGTCAAAGTAGAGGGAGAAATAGACTACAATAAAAAAATAAAATAAAAGCGGTACATAAACTATATACACACACACATTTCATACGCCACATAAGATCACCAAGAAGTATTGAACAAAATGTATTTTTCTAACAATCCAAAGAAGAAGAATTTATAATCGCAAAAGATACGTTTGTACTTGATACTTATATTGTTATTTTAGGCTTCAATTACATACACACATAAATATATAGATATATATATATATCAATAGTGTAGAATGGAATAAAAAAAAAAAAATCAACTTTTTACTACCTAGCAACAAATTCACTATTTATTTGTTCATTTTAAATAACCGACAATATTAAGCACTATCTGTGTTTAAATTTAAAGTTTGTAGGAATTTGGGTTGTTTAGTTTTGGGATTTTCTTTAATTTGCATTATTACCACCGAAATACCAAAAACCAAGATTATTAAAAATACGACATTAGGAGTAATAATGTATTAAACCTCCGAAGCTAATATAAAAAAAGAAACAGTGAGAAAAAAAAAAGACTGGCCTCAGGAAATGTTTAGACTTTTAAAAGTTTCAAATGGTCTCTACATTACATTAGACACAAAGGATAAATACTTGACACTTGAAAAGAGTAACGCTTTTTCTTTTCTTTTCTTTTCATTTTCATCATCAAAATATGCTTGTATATATATATTAATAAAAATAAAATCATAATAATCAACACATGAAATTCCTCTTTTATCTACTTTGAAATAATAGTAATCATGTAAAATACGTTGCTATAGATACCGAATCAATCAAATCAATTTTAGTTACTTTTTATTTTTATTTTTCATTCATTCCTTTCTTACCTTCAATATAAATATATTAAACAAAAGTGAAACAGATGAGGTATACGGACTATACGCCTACAGATATAGCCATGAATATACACCCACACGCACACAGAGAGAGACAGAAAGATACAGATAAAGACACTTGCACAAATACACACTATACCAAACCCTAACCAGAACTACAGAGTGACTCTCTTCTTCTTTTTCTTTTTTCATATACATATATATATATATATATATATATAAATCCTCTTTTTGTGATTCAAAATGGGTGATTCAAAAGAGAAATGTGTAAGAAAATTTAAAATAAAATAAAATAAAAAGCTAAACAAGTATAATGTATAAAGACAATCTCACAAATAATTAGCCTGTAGAATTTGTTGCAACATGCACAAACACAGATCTTTCATTTCTTTACAGTGATTACAACATTTCAAAAGTGGCCGTTTCTTCATTGATTGTCATTGCTAAAAAACTGGGGTATTTTGTAGTCTCGACAAACAAAGGTAGATAAAAACAAACAATAAGAAAGGGATAATATAAAAAAGAAAAGATAAATTAATATATATATATGTGTGTGTGTGTGAATTGACTACCCTCTTTTTTTTATTTTAATTTTTCTTTTAAAATAATAATAATGATAATCAAATAACAACAAATTAATTATTTAGGCTTTTCAATTGGAACGCTTGACAGTCTTCGCTATTGTATCTACAACGGAAACAACCTCTTCCCAATAACCTTCACTCGCGCCCTGATTACCTATCCACACCGTGTTCGATGCTTGGCACTTTCTGAAGATGAAAAAACCATCATACTCGGTCTATCCGGAGGGCGCCTACACACCTACAGTTTATCCGACTTGATTGCTAACGTAAAAAAAAAGAAGGAAAAAGGAAAAAGAAAAAGAAATGAAAGATCTTCTTACTCTTATTATTATTTTAGGAAGACCGAGTTGATCCTACACTGGTACAAGTGTTTGAATCTGGAATCAAAGAGATACACGCAAAGGGCAATAATAATGTTCTCGTCGTACTGGAGAAAAAAGCATGCGTAGTTGTGTCGTACACTACTAGTACTGTCTACGAATTTCATTCAGATGTGATGTTTGCCTGTTTCCAAGACGATGATCTCAATATTGCGTTTGCGACCCTCGAAGGACTCTTTGCGTGTGGCATAAACGCTAAAAACAAAAAACACATCTACAGATGGGATACGTATTTAAGGCGTAAGATATCCGAATATCCAGAGAAAAGATAGATAATTAACATGCCGAGTCACTGTTTTTTTATTATTATACACACAGCAAAAAAACTAGTTTGGATAACTACCGATACTTTGCTGATTGTCTTTCAGGAGAGCTTGTCACAAAATCGGTTTGAGTTCCCCATGTACATCGTCAACCTATCAACAAAGTCAAGTTGTTTTAACTTGACTGGCCATACACTCTATACGGACCGATCCGACAGAGTAGCCATCCACATACAGGTGATCGACAACTTTTCAAAAGACACTCCAAAGATGATCATTGTTTCCACTACTGCAGAAGAAACAAAATTCTGTATCCTCGCAAATGACCACAACAACGATTGGTCCGGATGGTCTGATGTACCGCAGCCTAAGTTTCGCCGTTCTCCTCACAACTTTTGTATATTTAGAGGATTTGAACCTCTCCTACGAGGCATGGCAGTAGACTGTTCTTTTATGCCCGACTACTCAGAGGGCAAAGATCCGAATGGGAGTTACATGCCAATGATGATAGGTCTCACAGATGCTGGACTACTGCGTGGCTACTACGTCATTAACCGAGAAATGGTCAGCAAACAGCAGGTCTGCAGTAATATGAGAGTAAGACAAAACTATCCGGGAATTGATAAACTGTCAATGATTCCCGCCGACGGTCGGCATTTCTACAACAAGACCCCAACAAAGGAAGATAAAGGGGAAGGGTCCGATGATCCAAACGACGCATCAAAGGGCAAAGAACAGCAATTATCACCTGCGGCTAAGTTACAAGAAATTTTGACAGATATTCAAAATGTCGTACTCTTGGTAGAAGAACTTCGATCAGATATGTTCCCACAAGCACCATCACAATCAGAGCCACAATCGCGATTGCTATTACCAGCACAGCCAATAAAATTAAAACTCTCTATGAAAGAAAACAAACGAGCAATTTTCATACAATCAGGAATTATGAAAAAAATTGACCAGGCAATCGTCGCATTTACTGATAGGGCTAACTTTGCCCTCAGCAGCATACAAGCAGAGAGTTCGGAGTTCAGTACTGTGCATTCAGGGGATTCAGGAATTTTGTCTTCCGCAATATTAAATGCAATGAAAAATGATATATCCGGCTTTTTTGGAACAGTCAAAGCCATCCTCAATTCAGGTTCGGAAGATCTCAGTACGTCACATGATATTTATACACATAACAGTCTGAATACTCATCCTCAGCCTTCTTCTTCTCTTTCTTCTCTTTCTTCTCCTTCCTCTTTTAATAATAATAACTTGATAGTCAGAAACATAGATAGCCACTTGTTGTCTTCTAAGCAAAGCTCGGAGGAAACAACAGCTCAAGACGATACAAAATCAACACACAGTCAAACAGAACAAAACGCCTCTTTATCTAATAATCTAGCGCGCAGTATCCAGAACACACAACTACCATCTTCCGAACAGAAATCTGAAGAAATAACAGCTCAAGGCGATCAACAACCTACACACATTCAATCAGAAGAAGATACCTCTTTAAATACCACTCCAGTACTCAGTATCCTAGAAACACATTTATTGACTTCCAAGAAAATATCCGAGGAAATAAAAACTCAAGGCGACACACAGTCAACACACATTCAATCAGAAGAAAACACTTCTTTAAATAATACTCCAGTGCACAATATCCAAGAAACACAGTTATTGCCTTCTGAACAAAGCTCTAAGAAAACAACAGTTCAAGACCAGATGCAGTCAAAATCGAGCCAAATAGAGAAAATCACTAGTTATGGTCTTCTGGCAATAGGAAGTCAAGATAAAGATGGAGATATGTTGTGTCCCACACAAAACTCTAAAAACAAAATATCGTCTTCTTCGACCGAAAAGTCATGGGATATAGTTAGCAACAATAGCGACGATTTCCAAAGTAATGTTACGATGCGGCTGATTTTTTATACGCTCCATATAAAAGGTGATAATGAAACTAAACTCTAACACGTATCTAGGTTGTCATCCAAGTGAACCAGATCAAGTCAACTATGAAGAAAATGAACAAGAATGGGGAGATTATGAAAACCCAACAAATTCTATCGCAGCCAATAAACCTGAAGATGAAAAGAACCCTTCAGCAAACGTCGTTAAAGAACAGATGTCTTTATCCGCCAAAAGCTCAACACCAAACAAAGGTATATGATATATTGTTGGTGCACCGGCATGATGGCCTGTCATGCTTACTAATACAGTGTCTATCAAACGCCCTGTAGAAATAGCAATCAAAGCAGACACCGCAACGGACGAGAAAAAAGAAACCGAAATTAAAGAGTCTTTATTAATCCCCAGACCGACTGCGGTTCCACAAACTACTCCATACTCTGGTAAAACTGGTGTAACCGTAACTCCACATTTCAAATCAGTTCCAGCCATATGCTACTGTTCACTGAAAACAACGGCTATATCCACCAGTCCTTTGAAAAAAGATATTTTGGACGGTAAGACCAAAGAAACATTGTCTAATACAAAAGATACAACAGATAAAACAATAGAAGCAAAACGTAAATCACCACAATACATATCATATAACCTCCTATCCAAACCCTAACCACACACTTTCAAATTAATCCTTTTACCAGATAACCTTGATGATATCAGTGAATTTCAGAAAGATAAACAACAATACGAGTCTGCTCTCCCACAAATCGACTTTGGGAAAGATTTAGTAGGTTCATTCAGTTGTATTACTTATGACAAAACATGCGATGAGAAAACAATGTGGGCAAGACGCATGGAATTTTTAAATACTCCTGCCAATAACGCCGGAAAAGATGCAGCATCAGCACACAAATCTAACCTTGAAACGAAGAATCTTCCATTGGCAAAAACTCCTGTCTCATTTTTTGGCTCTCCAAGTGTGCTAAAACCTACAACACCCATCAATAATAATTTTGGTCCATCTAATAGTCCAATGAAACCGATGACCAAGGACGCAGCCTTTGCATTTCAAATGACGGATAAATCAAGTGTTGGTGAATCGAGAACTGCTCGAAAATCAATAGACATTTCTTCCAATGTAGAATTTTTATTTGGAAGAAAAGTCCAGCCTACATCACCATTTGGCAATGTGACAAAAAATGACAAACAGCCAGCGAAAATTTCTTTTGGATCAGGATTCAAATTCACAGCTCCATTAAAACCTACGGCACCTGCAAATTTATGGACTACTGACAACCAGTCACCAATAATGTCTTCAGGGCCATCGTTTAAATTTGCAGTTCCAGAAAACTTTACACCAACTGCAAATGTATCAAGCACTGACAGCCAACCAGCAAAAATGTCTTATGGGCCAGTATTTAAATTTGAAGCTCCAGAAAACCTCATGTCATCTGCAAATGTATCAAGCACTGACAACCAGTCAGCAAAAATGTATTCTGGGCCACTATTTAATTTTTCAAATCTAGCCAAATCCACACCACCACCACAGCCACCTATCAATACCTTGAGTACTGGGGACAAACAAGCAAGTACACTCTTTGAGCCAAAATTCAGCTTTGGAAGCAAAACTCAAAATAAACCACCTACAAATGTGTCGAGTACTGCAACGCCGTCAACCTCCACAAAGTCAAAAAGCACAGCGCTAACATTTAATACATCTGCACTGTCACTTACTGAAACTGATAAGAAATTCTTGCACTCTGCAGGTAAAGTTTTGAACTATCATTTCTAACAAACCTAATTTAACATTTGCACAAATCAATATAGGCATTACGCCAAACACTACATATCAAAAGGAAAGTACTTGCAAAGTAACATACTTATCGTTTGTATATTAGCTCAATCAAATTAATGTATACATATATAACTATTACGTCTTACAGCCAGAAAAAACACCACTGCTCAGTACCACAATTACTGAAACCAATCAACCAATATCGAAGGTGTCTATACCTTGTGTTCCAGCCGTAAATAAGCTGAATAATCAAAAAGAAGCCAATTTATTGGGAATCAGCGCAGAGAAAGAAAGCACCACATCTGTATCGCTCATCCAGAAAAAAACTGGTCAGACAGATTCTGCCTTTTATCCTTCAGAAACGGCAGTAAACAAAAACGCAGCTAAGAAGGCTCTTGTCGGATGTACACACACTGGACGTCAAAATGAAGCTTCAGATTTGGTAGAAAACACATCATCTACCCAAACGCCGACTACGAGTAGCAAATTAGTACAGACACACGAGTTAATGACACACCAGAAACATGTTGCAAAAACAGAATCACCCTCAAAGGAGAAATGTCAGACGACAGCTACGTCTTCGAAGGATATTTGCCCAGTAGAATCGAAGCCCTTGAAAGGCGATCTATCGACAGCCGAGCCATCTTCTACACTCCCCACAGAGAAAGATAAAAATACGTTGATCAAGGGCTCGCTGAAGGAGGAGTATCAGCTGTCATTGACATCCGAGTTTTCAAAGGAGACCAAACAAACCCCAGTGACTACACATAGATCCCCCAAGGAGACTTGTCTTCAGGATGATTTGGACAAGGGTATTGAATCAAAGGAATGTTCTCCTCAGAAAGACATTATGTTAACTAAGGAACATGAGCCCAAAGAGATATGGGAGATGCAAATGTCTATGGTCAGAGAAGCTATGGAAAAGGTAAATTATATTCTTGTGTTTTCCATGCCATGCAATTTTCTCCTCTTCTCTTGATGGCATATGAATGAAGATAGAATGCCCTTAATATATAAGATCCCCTTGTGCGCGCGTATGTGTGTGTGTGTGTGTACATACACATACAAATACACATACAAATACACACACATATATATGTATATATATGTGTATTTCTTAATAACCTCCCTGTTATCTTTTGACATGACGACTTGTCATGATAGCTTTCCAGAAGGCAGGATCAAACCACCAAATCAATGGACTTTTTTAATCCCTGTCAAGAAATGCCCTCATCGGTTTCTCGTATTGATACATTCTTGGAACATACGCAACAAGTGTGCATGTCAGCACAAAACAAAAGGGAACAGATACAGAATCTTAGTATTGCAGCATCGACTACACTAAAGCACATAGCCAATTGCGGTAAGATATATATATATATATATATATATATGTGTGTGTGTGTGTTAGTTTATCGTGCAGTTTAATCTTGATGAGGGAGATAGATTTATACATTATATGGCTATGCGAGGTAATGCAATATGTATATCACTATAATTAATGAACTATGCGCTTTTATAGTTGAAGACAAGATGACTGAGCTTGAGGTGGTAGTACCTAACACAGACGATCCAGAAGAGTACATTGAACAGATCGAGAACCTTGATTACTTTGAATCGCCACTCAAGTCAATATTACCAATCCTGGAGACTAATATCAGACTGGTGGACTTTAAGCGGGAGGCTCTACAGAAACTAGTCGATCAAAAAAAGCCAATTATCCAGGTCGCTAAAAGAAACCTCTTTTTATAAGATATAAATCTACGATTTACATCATTACATAATAATAAAGTAGGTCCACTCACCTTACACCCCTCCCACCTTCTCCCCAATCCCCCAGTCCCCCAATCCTTCTCTTAATCTCTCATTCGATATTCATTTTCTGTTTAACCAATCATAATAAAAAATAATCTAATACAAGAAGTGTAGTTTCTAGTATACAAACACACTCACACCAACCTTGCATCTATTTCTCGCTTAAAAACTTAGTAGCAGACATACCTATACATATATGCATACATATATCCTTTCTCTCTCTTTAGTGAAATCTTTGGTTGATACGGGCACCAGCCACCACACCTCTTCTGTCGGGGTTTAAACACACATATTGAGTAGAGTTTTTGGATTCCACACAATGGAATAAAAAAAATGACATTAGTAATGAACATTAGAAGTTGTTTCTCTTTTTTGTTGTTTGTAAAATGGAATGCATCTATAAAGTACATGATGCCATTTCTGCAGCATTCTATGGTGTCGCTTTATTTGGGTTTGTCAAAATAAAAGATCGAGTATGATCTTCTTCATTTATGCTGATTGCAATGAGACAGAGTGGCAGGCACACTTCAGATTGCACAGGTGTCTTCCTTTATATGCACTCCCTTTTCAGAACACATAGTTGTTGCAGTGAATTCTCACCTGGTTGGATTGGTCTGGAAAACAATGCAGGCGAGTCCGGTGGTTTATTATTTTATTTGCCTTTTTGCTTGCTTGGTGTTTTATATGCACATACATATAGGGAACACTTCTTTTGCTGACGTTTTTCGCGTTTTATGGACTGTATATCTATCTATATTTATATTTTGCGGGCAACTTTCAATTCTACAGTATGTGTTTGAGGTAATTGATATTATAATAAAGAGGTGTTCCACACACATATATATATATATACTTTCAGGAACAAGATTATTAAGATTTCAATTGTCCTACGATATTGTCATTAGAAAAGGAAAAAGGCACACATCACATTCTCTGGAGATCATATTCCTAGAGAAGAAAGTGCGTTGGTATTCAGTAACCACCGTTCATGGATTGATTATTACATGATTCATTCAGTGGCAAGTCGACGCAATATGCTCCATAATTGCAAGGTATCTTGTTATTCTTAATTTAATTAAAGCATATTTTGTGTGGACATTCAAAAGTTAAAAAAAATTGATGGAATATATTGTAGTACTTTGTCAAAGACTCGATTAAATGGGTAAGCAAGTTATTTCCCCTTCTTTATTTCTGTTCTAGTTCTCTCAATAGAGTATTTAAATACTTTGAATTGTTGCTGACAGCATGTCTTTTTAATAAATCATATAGTTACCGTTTTTTGGGTGGGGTATGTGGGTAAGTAAAAGTACAGGAATAGATAGATAGATAAATAGGTAAATAGCTGATGTGTATATGAATTATTGGCATTTCCAACAAGCTTGCAGGATTCGTATTTGTCCGACGCAACTGGACAAAAGATCAAAAAAAGATCAAAAAATCATTTTCCAAAATCAAACGTATGAAAACGCCTGTCTGGATTATAAGTTATCTTGAAGGATCTCGTTTCACAACCGAAAAGATGATCGAGGTACATACGCATATACATATATAAAAGAAAATATTTGTATTGACAGTAAACCGTATTCTCTTTTTCTAGTGTCAAGCATTCTCGAAAGAACGTGGGTTGCCAATTTTGCAACATGTCCTCACACCTCGCACCAAAGGCTTTGTAACCTGTGTACAAGAGTTTAGGAATTCTCATGTCAAGTGTGTTTATGGTAAACCAAGACACACACACAGACACACAGACACCCTCACCAACACCCATACCCATACCCACACACAAACATAATAACAGTATCTTATGCTTTCACATTGACCTAGATTTTACAATTGCTTATCGCCACAATATCAAGAACAACCCCTCTTCTGGGTTCCTTGAGGCTCCATCAATGGTCCGACTACACACACGCCGTTTATCACCCGAGTACGATTTCCATGTCCACGTCAAACGATTCATGATTGACGAACTTCCAGAGGAAGAAGATGCATTGTCAGGCTGGGTAATGGAACGTTACGTCGAGAAGGATCGTTTCTTAGCATCTCTGAAGGATGATTGGTTGAAAGGACAAGAAATAGATTTATGTATCAAGTAGTCCTTTTGGGGGCCCTTTTCTCTCGGACCTACCTTTAACTAGATTTAAATAATACTAAATCCATATTTTTTTTTCATTCAAACGTATCTATCAAAAAAAAAGAAGAAAAAAAAAGAAGAGGAACGAAATCCATACTAAAGAAGCGTGCGATGCATTTTTTTTTAATTGGGCCCTAGAAATTATCGGCCAAGTAATTATCCTCATCAATAAAAGAAGCAAGTACGATTCTGTCAGCAAATCTACGGCCAGCTAGGGACCGTACTGCGGCCATTGTTTGTTGGTTTGTACTAAAACGAACAAAGATCTTGAACACGAAATGGGTGAGCTCACACTACTTTAATGCCCAAGAGCACACACACACACACACAAAAGCTATATTATTTTACCTTGCCAAGACCTGGTACAATTTGGTTTGCATGTGGACGAGGAATCTTCATATCAACAATTTCCCCAAACTTGGCGCACTCTTCCTCAATATCTTCCCAGATATCTAATATTTTAAATTCATTAATACCAGGGAAAAAAAAGAAACATCTATCCACCATAATTTCCTCCCATATATTTCGTTCTCTCTCTCTCTCTTTTATTACCTCTGTATTCTTCATCATTTTCAAGTTCTTCGGGTGTAACCATGTTCATAAGCTGCAATACGCGCGTTGCATCTTCATCTTTAACAGTACCAACACTAAGAATATCAAGTGCTGGGAAAGCACCACCAACTTCACCACCATGTTTAGCACCCTGACTGGCGCGCTGCACCACAAGTCTACGTTCACCGAGTTCCATATTATTCAAACCCTGGCATGCAAGATCTGTTACACTTGGATCAGCATATTCGCAGAATGCAAATCCCTACAAAAAGAAAAAAAAAAGTTGAGTTTTATAGTATCAGCTACCATTACGATCATATTTTACACTAATCTTAATTTTCCTCGACTTTTTTTTTTTTTGGTTTATCGATCTCTCTCATATATAAGCATTTCCATTGTTTTCTCATCTATGGAAATACACACACATATATAAGAATATTTATAAATATTTACCTTTGATGCGCCTGATGGTTCTTTGACAAGGTGGAAGGCACGCAGTTCACCAAAGGACTGCAGTAATTCCATAATTTGATCTTCGTTGAGATACATTGGCAGACCGCCAATGAAAATCTTATTTGGTGTGTCGGGTACAACAGTAGAAACTAATACTAATATCAGTGTCAACATTTCCTTAGATCCCAATAAAATGATAGTCGTTGTATTTTACCTGGCATGTGCATCATATCTGCTGGTTCTCCCGCAGGCTGATAATCCTTTGGCCGGCGAACACGAAGAGCCTGGCCCTGGAAGACAATACCATCAAATGCCATTGCAGAAGTGGCTTGATCTGGATCATAGAACTATAAAGGAAAATGAAATGAAATGAAAGATAAGCGTAAATGTCAACATAAATGGAAATTTCAATAATTTCATTTCCACAAGATTATCCTAACAAAGAAGAAAAAAAAACCTCCCTCTCACAATTTATTTTATTTCTTGTTTCCTATCAAAAGAAAAAAAATAACTTACTTCAACAAACGCATAGTTGCGCTCTCGGTTGATGTGAACAGAAAGTACAGATGGTGCTGTGGCAAGTCCCATTGTTTGCATAGTTTGATTAAAGAAGTCAGACATTGACTGTTCATCAATTCCAAGTGGAATCTGGCCCACATACACGCGGCGTGCTTGTCTTGCAACAGTGGCATTGAGCGCTACGGGGCCAGCCGCACCCTGGGTCAGTCTAACTCGCGATCCATCGGGTGCAGTTGCCATCATTCCATATGATCCTGGTGCGGCAAAGGCTTCGGGGGCTCTAGTACCGAGCATCTGTCCAGGCAGAGGGAACAGACCGGTTTGCTTAACCTGCTCAGCTGTCATACCCTCCATACCCTGGGGAGCCATATCCCAGTTGTTAAGTTTACGAGGGCGCATGTGGAGCGGTACAACTGACGATGTACTTTCAGAACCGCGCCCTGGTCTGTCGTTACTACTACTTGTGGGTTGGCTATGGCTGTGGCGACTGCTGTGACGACTGACGCGTGGGCTTGGAGTGCGACGGCGGGTGGTGCGACGGTCATCTCGGGTGCGTCCTCGGTAACGGTCGCGCGATCGCTCTCTTCGCTCTCGTGAACCTCCACTACGGCGATGTCTGTTTTCTCGTTCATGTTCACGATATCTGTCTCTATTACCGCCATGGTCACGGCTACTGCGGTGATAACCATCGTCACCTCGGCTACTGGTGCGCTGGTAGAGGGCATCATTTCCACCGTAATGAGCTATATTACCTAATATCAACACTACGCGTCTGGTAGAACTACGATCATCACTATACTTACCCTTGCGATCTTGATAATATTCATTTCCTTTCGACTCATGAGCCAATTGTTCGCTCACAGAGCTCAAGAAGGAATTGGCGAGTTGAGCTGCATTGCGCTCTGTAACAACATTACTGATTAACTTCTAATTCTACACTATGGATTATGGATTACCATTCGAGTCACCGTGGCCATGTTCAATCACTTCCGTTTTAATCCGACGTTCCATTCCAAAAAAAGACTCAAAGAGGACCTCCCATCGTCAATCCCCCCTCTTTCATTTTTTTTTCGTACGCTCAGTGTCCAAGACAACAGTCACACATTTTCAGTGTGGGTCCTACGTAGGCAAAAAAAAAAATCCCTGAAAGGCAATGCATCTTCTTCATGCCTTGTTTTCTCTTTTTCTCTTTATGTGTCGCCTCACCTCCCCTCCTTCCTCCTTTCAGATTCTCTTTCTTTCTTGTGCTTTAATAAAGAAAAGAAAGGAGGAGGTTAAATTAACTCCTTTAGAGTGAGAAAAAGAAGCATATTAAAGAAAGTGATATATTAGAATAAGCGTTATTTTTTTCTGTGTTATTTTCGAGGAATACAAAAAATCATGCCATTACTGGCCAATCCCTCCCACGTAAAGAATAAGCTTAATGAATTTATGGACCGACTCTGTGATATAAGAAAATAAAATAAAATAAACTGGGACCCGGCAAGCTCATTTAAGCTTGTTCTTCTTCCTTTTCTCTCTTTTACTCTCTCTCTCTCTTTACAACTTGGATGAGAATTGCTATTACAGTTATTGTTGTAATTATTGCCTTACTTTATTATAAAATGTCAACTCCAAATACTGTGATTATCATTGGCGGTGGATTAGCTGGGCTTTCGGCTGCTATTGAAGCCCATGCTAATGGTGCGCGTGTCATACTTCTCGAAAAAGAGGCTCGCATAGGGTGAGTTTAGTCATAGTAAAATCATAAAGATTGATTGACTGACGAGCCTAACGAAATAACAAATAAAAAATAACAAATAAACAACAGTGGTAATTCGATCAAGGCATCATCTGGTATCAATACTGTTGAGCCATTAAACAACGACACTGTTGAGCTGTTTGAAGAGGATAGCATAATATCTGGAGGTGGTCTTTCGGACCCAACGCTGGTACATAAGCTGGTGACCGAAAGCCAGGATGCTGTGAAGTGGTTGATTGAACAGAGTAAAGATAGCCTTGATCTTTCGTTGGTGTCAAGATGCGGCGGCCATCGAGTCGGAAGAACCCATCGCTGTAAGCCTGGAGAGAACGGACGACCGGTACCCGTTGGATGGGCAATTATTGAGACACTCAAGAAACGCCTGGATGGAGTTGAAGTCAAGACAGGAACACGAGTATTGGAGATCCTGAAAAACGCATCGGGTCGAGTAACCGGTGTACGCGTGATTACAGACGGAGAGGAGGAAGAGATAGACGCGGAGGCAGTTATCCTGGCGAGTGGTGGTTTTGGCGGTCAGACGGGCGAGTTGCAGGGGGATGGCAAGGAGAGCCTGTTGCATCATTATGCACCCCAGCTGGTTAACCTAGCAACAACTAACGGGCCATGGGCTAATGGTGATGGTGTCCGCCTTGGTCTTGCCGCAGGCGCTAAGCTCAAAGATATGGTTTGTAATCAGAGTTTGTATAGAAAGATTGTAAACTGATCTTGTCTGTAGGACCAAGTGCAAATCCACCCGACAGGTTTCATCGATCCTTCAAACCCAAGCGCACCCACAAAATTCCTGGCTCCTGAGGCTCTAAGAGCCTATGGTGCCATACTTCTCGATGGTGAAGGTCATCGTTTTGTAGACGAGCTCGGCAGACGAGATGAGGTCAGTAAGGCTTTCTTTGAGCACCCTAATCACCCAACACCTGAAGGCTGGATGTCCAAGTCCCTTTCTGCGGCCACCGATGCAGACAAACATACATCTGCTTCTACAGCTACAGCTACAGATACAGCTACATCTGCTTCTACATCTACATATACATCTGATTCTAGATCTGCGGTAGCGTACCTTGTGATGCCTCAACAGGCAGTCGAGAACTTTGGCGAGGGCACTTTGGGCTTCTACCTTCAAAAGGGATTCTTTGTAAAGGCTGCTGGTACAGCTGGGCTCGCCAAATTGCTGGCTGTTTCGCAAGAAGCTTTGGAAGAGGAGTTGGGACAATATGATAGCCACCAGGATCCAGAAAAGACGGTTTTTCCATGCGATCTGATGCCATCCAAAGACATCCTGTATTGGGTGGCTCTAGTGACTCCTTGTGTGCATTACACCATGGGAGGACTAACTATCGACAGTGAAGCTCGAGTGTTGGAGTCTTCAGGAAAGCCGATTACTGGTAACGTACCAGAAACGTGATGTGCTAGACCAGAATATTTTAACATTTTTTTTTTTGATTTACCACTCTTCTTTTTCTATCAATTGAACTGTTTATCAAAATGCATGTATAAAAAAACAAAAAACAGGTCTCTATGCGGCAGGCGAGGTAGCTGCGGGAGTGCATGGAAAGAATCGACTGGCGGGTAACTCCTTGTTGGAGTGTGTTGTGTATGGCAGAACAGCAGGCAGAACAGCGGCAACATCTTATTTGAGCCTGGATTGAAATTGTGTTTATTTTATATATACATACACGACACAGTTTAAATAGCAACCAACCAAGACGCATAAAGTGCATATCGTGGCCACATGGACCCTCCTTTTTTTACTTTTACTTTTATTTTTGCTCTTATTCAGTACAATATATCTATATATCTTATGACGCATGCGTCTCACCAAAGTTCACTTAATATAGTCTTATCACATAAGCTGTGCATCACTATGCATGTTATTGTTTAAATGTGTTTTAATATATGTATATATTTATATTATATATTGTTTTTTATTTTATATTTTATGTACACTACACTACTCTGCGCTACAGCCATGTCAAAGCTTCTGCTATCTCGAAATCTCTATTATCATATAAAGTAACGGGTCCTTTAGACATCTACAGTGCGTTCCTCAGGCAGACTACGAGCCGTTCCTGCTGCAACTTCACTCTCCCACACGAGCTGTTTGTTGATGGCAGCAACGTAGGCCTTTGCAGCAGCACTGACAATGTCAGTATCGGCGATGCTAGAAGAGAAGGCGGCCTTGGAGATACGCTCTTCAGAGGCATTTCCAGGAACAATATCAGGCATGACCTGGATTTCAGCCTTGCCAAGAGCATCACTTCCCTCACCAACTGCGCTGATGTCAAACTTGGTCAGACGGAAACGACGGCCAACAATACGCTGGATTGCCTCAAAGACAGCCTCGATCGAACCAGCCTTTCCGACTGCAGCATCCATCTTCTCAATCTTTTTCTGGACGTCAAACAGACGCACATTGGCAGTGGCAGGGCCTTCTGTGCCTGAGACGACCTGGAGACCGACAAGAGTAAAGAAAGCCGAGGAGGCCACAGCAGACTCCTGCAGCTGACTGCTAAGGATAGCCAGGATATCTGCGTCATTCACATTCTTCTTCTTGTCGCACAGAGCCTTGAAGTCTTCAAATGCCTTTTGGAACTCATCTTCGGGAATGTCGGAGAAACCGAGCTCCTTGCAACGTTCTCTGAATGCATTTCTGCCAGAGTGCTTGCCAAGGACAAGAGAAATGTCAGTGACGCCGACTGTCTCGGGTGTGATGATCTCGTAGGTCTGACGGTTCTTGAGTACGCCGTCCTGGTGAATACCGCTCTCGTGCAAGAATGCATTGCGGCCAACGATTGCCTTGTTAGGCTGGATCATCATGCCGGATAGGTTGGAGACCATCTGCGAAGTACGGAAGATGAGCTGTGTGGTGATGGTGTGGTGAACAGGGTAGTAGGAAGGGTGGGTATGGATGGCCATGACGACCTCCTCCATAGCAGTGTTTCCAGCGCGTTCACCAATGCCGTTGATTGTGACCTCGACTTGACGGGCACCGTTTTGGATACCAGCCAAAGTGTTGGCAGTGGCGAGACCAAGATCGTTATGGCAATGAGTGGAGAAGATAGCCTATAAAAAATTACACACACACAAAAAAAATTTAAGAGATTGCATGTGAATTATGATGTTAGAAAATGTAAGAATTATAATAAGGATTTTTAAGTAAAATAATAATAAAAATAATAATAATAATAATAATAATAATACTAGTATTAATAATTGTGTGTTTGTATAGAAAACTTTAACTTTCTTATGTAATTTGTTTTGAAGTTAAATACCTTTTCAGCACCGGGTGTGTTGGCGATCAGATACTTAATCAAGGATCCATACTCTTCGGGAGTGTTGTAGCCAACAGTATCAGGGATATTGAGAGTAGTGGCACCAGCCTCAATGACCTTACCCAAAACCTTGCAAAGGAAATCGGGGTCAGATCTGCCAGCATCCTCAGGTGAGAACTCAATCTCGTCTACCAGACTGCGTCCAAGAGTGACAGCTGCAACTGCACGCTTAACGCATTCATCACGGTCGATCTTGAGCTTATATTTAAGGTGGAGATCTGAGGTAGCCAAGAAAATGTGAATTCTCTTTCTGGGTGCATCCTTAATAGCTTCTGCACATCTCTTAATATCGTTTGGAGTCGAACGAGCCAATCCGCAAATTGTCTGAAAATAGAATAAAGATTAATATCGAAATTTAACAAAAATGCTGATAATGATATGATATGATTTGATTTGATATGATATGATTAGTATTATTTACCATGGGCACACCAATGGCTTCACGTCCGACCATCAAAGGACCAACTTCGCGGGCAATACGCTGGACTGCTTCAAAGTCGCCAATCGATGCAACGGGGAAACCGGCCTCGAGAACATCGACACCAAGACGAGACAGCTGCTTTGCAATGTCAATCTTTTCCTCGGTGTTGAGAGTGACACCTGGAGACTAATATGGTTTATAGAGATGTAAATATAGTGCTGGTTTATAATATATAAGATTGATTACCTGCTCTCCATCACGGAGGGTGGTATCGAATATGATCAGTTTGTCAGTAGTGGCAGGCATTATTATTAATCAAAGAAGAATGTAAGAATAACAACGTCAGTAAGGCAGAAGAGGCGTGCTTTATAGAACGAGTTTTGGCATTGTCCGCCACAGCCAATCACAGAGAACCATCTCTCCTGCTACAATTGTAGTCATGAAAAGCATTGGGCAGAATTCCAAGTCACCCAAACGAAAAAGGGAAAATAATAATTATATAAAAAATAAAATAAAAAATAATTTTAAAATTACAAAAAGTCAAAGAAAAACACAAGAGACAAGAATTGGCCCTGCCTTAATAGGGACTCCCCAACAAAGCTCCTCTCCCCTCACATTCGTTCCTTCCCCTTGAAGAAAAAGAAAGCGAGCCAGAGAAGAAAAGAAAAGAAAAAAAAAATCTTTGAAAAAATTGTATATAAAAAATATAGATACATCAATATACAATTTACGATGATGACCCCTATTTCTTGGTATATTTTTTAAAAAGACCATCTTTTGGCTCTTCAGGAGTCAAACCCATTTCTTTCCTTCTTCTTCTTCTTTGTCCTCTATACTTCTTGTCGGCTATCAAAGAGCGATGCCAAGACCCAATCCATTCCTTCGTCGCGCCTCGTCTCCGGGCGACCTCTCTGACGAACGCAAGCCAATCACTCCCACAAAGATCACCCACCCGTCTCTGTCTGACTCTGCACTCCGAATCCGCAGACCAGTCACCTTCCGGCATGCTCAAACAAGGACGATGAGCATTCGTCCAACCCGCTTCATCAAGGCTGGACCACCAACTCCCCAAGGCGATCCGACTTCCCTGTCCGAAGAAATGCAGTCCTTTGTCCGACTCTTCGACACATACAGTCACAAGGTCTACCTTGAAGGATATCTCATGAAACACAACGAGCCTAGTCACACAAAACTACGGACCAAATGCTTTGCTGAACTTTGTGGTCCCATGCTCACCCTCTGGGATGCAGAAAGCCAAGGCCTGTGCACACCTCAGTATATGACCATCTCCGACTGCACCGTCCAGGCCATCGAACAGCCTGCGCTTGACGAACCTAAAAAGAAAAAACATGTCTTCTCCATCTGCTTCATGAAGAAGACCGTGGTGTTTGAGACCTCTGACGAAATGACCCTCTTGCGGTGGGTATGTGCCCTCCGACTCTCATGCTTTGAACACCAAAAATTGCACCAACTCTTTACTCTCCGCATTCTGGCCGGACTTCCACATGATCCAACCTCCCGTTGGGAATCTTATCTCCAGGTTCGCTTACCAGGTGCAACCGAGTGGCATAAATACTGGGCAGTCGTCACAGACAAACGAGACGAACGCACCTTGTTTGGCAAGAAGACAGTTGCAACAAGGGGTCAGTTCTTGTTGTACGAGACCAAGAAAGCCAAGACCCCTTTTCTGACCCTAACAGATGTCCAGCGCGTCTATGCTGTCTACCCAGAGTCATGGCATCTAATCGACAAAAGCACTCTTATGCGCCTCGAAGGAGACATTCACCAGCAGCATCACAAACAAACTCAGGACAACGTGCTCCTGATGGCTGATTCTAGTCAGCATATGGCCCTATGGTTAGACGCCATGCTCCATGCATTTAAGCTTCACGGACGGCCTGACCAGCTTACCGACGACCCTTCGGACGAAAAGGCACTCAACTATGGCGAGCCTGAATGCAACCAGCGCCTATTCTTGGAAACAGACGACGCCATCCAGGCTATGGATGTAAGCTGGATCGACCCACGCACGATCGAACACACATTTTTGGATGTAATGCGCCGCAAATCGCTTGCCCTGACAGCCAGTCCACGACCGCCGAGTGGACGAGCCAACAGCTTGCCGCTCATAACTGTCGGCGACGATGGACGAACAACGGCCACAAGTGCGGCAGAAGTTGTGCTGGCCAGAGATGATACCAGTTGGACGCATCCAGGCACGACAGACGGTGCCAGTGACGACGACAGCACAACATACACATTTGCTCGTCAGGTCGCTGACTCGAGCGATGAAAGCGAAGACGATGATGGAAACGACGAAGAAGAAGAAGACGACGACAGCGACGATGAGCCGATTGGAAAGACACGGCAGTTATCGAGACCAGTGTCGCCTGTTCCCAAAAAATCGATGGTCGAAGGACTCATCCCAGACTTTGACTTTGGAAACGGATTTGATGTTCCTCGACATGTGCAGCACCGAAGAGAGAGCGAGAGTACGGTCGAGATCAGCTTACCCTCGTCGGACAATGTAGAGCCACCAACAACCCACAGCCGACAGCTGTCATTATCAGCCAAGCCGTCGTCTTGTGCATCGAGTGCGAGTGCAGTAACTTCGCTATTTGGGGATTTTAGATTGGCAACTGATTTCACAAAGTATCTCGACCAGCCTTTGGTTAAGGACACTCCTCGCAAGACTCCTTCCAAACTAGTCCAACCCCACCCCTTAGTATCGTATGATCGTGAATGGGAGGAAGAAAAGAGCGAAAGTGAAGGCGAGTATGCCAAGCGGCATGCCTACGATGACGATTCGTACGACTCTGATTGCGACGGGCCTTTGATTCCTTCGCTGGGCGACCACTTTGCGCCTCAGAACAGCTTGCTGGACACATATCTGGGCGAGCAGCTCAGTGCCAAAGAACAGATTGAATATGCACGTGCAACTGGACAGCCCTTCATTCAGATGCCAGCCAAGCCACGCACACCCCAAGCCGGGCTCATTGGTATGATATCCCAGCGAGAAAAGGACCGCCGGGAAGGCCATGGCATCCGGGTCACTGAACGGGTGCATCAGCATCAAGCCGAGCTAGGCCGGGATCGGCTTGAGCGTGAAAAAGAGCGCAGACTTGCTGAACAGCGTCAACAACAGCTTATGAAACATCAGATGATGCTCTATGCTACTAGTTATATGCCATTGCCAGCTTATGGCATGCCTCTCACACCTCTCTACACTGTTCTTCCACGCCCTGTTCGTGGGCATCTCATTCCACCACCACCCCGACCCTTTCCGCTCGATCAAGATCATCGAATCCCCCTCCGGACTCCTAACAATGAGCGTGTATAAAACAATAAATAAATAAAATAAGATAAATAATTAAATCAAATCAAATCACATTAAATCAAATCACATTAAATAAAATAATGAACAAATATTGTGCCTTGTAAGAAAGATTCATTTTCCACTAAAAATCAAATCAAATCAAATCAAATCAAATAAAAATTAAGACAATGAAAATGAAATAAAAAATAAAATAAAAAATAAGATAAAGAGCAAAAATTATATGTATGTACAACAACAAAAAACAAGCTAATCAAAAAATTTGATTTTTTTTCTTTTCTTTTTCAAGGCCAGAACTCCTTGTCAGGCTGGATTCGATAGACAGACTCCATCCCCGGCTGGACAAAGCAATTGACGAGATAATGGGCCAGTTCGCGTGTGAGGGAAGGCGTGAAATTATCTTCCCATGAGGGTGTATTAGAGACCACAATACAGTGGTCCAGTTTGGTGGATTCAGGTGTTCGTTGTTTGAGCAGTTCAAGTTCATGCCTCAATCTTTCGTTTTCATCCTCTGCCTCTTCCAACCTTCCGGTTAAATCTTCTGCACGCTGTTTATGATGATCGATTTGCTGTTCTAGACTAGCCAGATATTCTATTTATTTATTTATTTGTTTAAATAGAGGTTAATTATCTGTGCCATTTTTGGATCTTGGGTGCATTATATAAAATAATAATAATAATATATATATATATATATATACATACCCTTTCGCCGTACACGAAAGTTGCGTGCAGATATCTTGTTTCTCAGCTGCCTCCGTTCTCTTGCAGTCAGCTTCTTGATGTCCATGCCATCGGCCTCAGCCATGGCTTCAAGTGAACTATCTTCAATACTTGACACAGATAATGCTCGTCGCATCCGCGGAGTCTCGCGTGTCGTACAAGGTCCAAACACGCTTGAAGGCGAAATGGTGGAGTGAGACTGATCTCGCAGGGCCAGCTGCTGCTTTGCTAGTTCAATGAGTTGTTTGATTTGATCTGGAGTCGGCATTGTCTCGCGTGTTTCGATTCTAAAGGGCTCCAGATAACTCGAATCAACCAGTGTTTCTCCAATAAGTTTTCCGGGTAAAGTGTGTGAGTTGAGCCAATCCATATCAACAATGTCTTCAAAGTCCATGTTACAAGTCATAATACTATTTTTTTATGTATTCTCTTTCTTCCTTTCTTCCTTTTATATATATAAATATATATACAGAATACAAGAAGTAGAAGAAGTAGAAGAAGTAGAAGAAGTAGTAGTAGAAGAAGAAGAGGAAGAGAAATAGGGATTAAGAAAGCTTTGTGAGAGTATTTTTATTCTACAGTATCCCATCTCATCCCCCCCTTTATATATATATATATTATTATAGCTCAGATGAAACGGCTTTTGGACTACCGCAGAATATACAAAATAAATAGATGTTTATATAGCCCCCCCTTCTTTGTGTATATGTATATGTATATATATATATATTTCTATAACCCCCTCCCCCTCCTTTCTATATTTTAATCGGACTGCTTCATTGTTATGGATCCAAGGTGCAAAATGGTGGGACAGCATGGATCAGCGCGTGTTACTGCTGATCCAACTTCTCACAAGCCATGCCAAGTCAAGCCCACAATATCGTGAGGCAGTATTAGGTTAGCCGACACGCTTCCGAATGTGAAGTGCCGCACAGAAAAGCACCCTACGAAACAAAGTTCTTTTTTCTTTGTATTTGTATTGTTTTTTTTTTGCTTTTTTTTGCTTTGTCTGTCCTTATTTCTGTTCTTTTTAAAAAAAGGTTTTCTTTACCTTGCACTCTGTACTTGTGTGCCCCTCTCCGCCACAATGTCCGCACCTGGCCGCCATCCAAGCCGTTGCAGGCTGAAAGAATGCCATCTCATGGCGATATGAAGCAAACAGATCCTGGCTGCCAAAACCAGCAGTACCCAAAGGTCTTCCTGATTGTAGCTGGCTCTCAAGTGCACTTATCTTGGCCTCGAGTGAGAGAGTGTACCGTCGGGCCTCTTCCATCTCAACCTGTTGTTGTGATTTGTACAACTGCAGCATCTGTGTCTCGCGCGCCTGTGCGACTAACATCATCTCCGTGTATTGGTTCGTGAGCAATGCCATCTCCTGTTGGCTTGACCGCACACTTTCTGCCAGCCGACTGTTTTCCGAATGAAGCGTCCTTAAGAATACCAAAAGATCTGCCTGGCTCATATGCTTTACTCCCGCCAAAGCATCATTGTCATCGTCGTCGTCATTATCATTATTATTATTATTATCATTATTATCATCACAATACCCCTGGTCCGTGCTTTCTTTATTCCCAGCTTCAGATCCTTGGCTTTCTTTTTCATCCATTTCCGGCTCGGCTGGCCGTCCCGTTAAAAGTGTTTCTTTCGTGTCGATCTCTTGTTGTGGTGCCACTTCTACAGATCGTTCCGCTTTTACTGGCACCTCGACTTTTACGGCTAGTTCCCCTTTAGCTGTCCGTGGCTCTTTTACAGCCTCTAAGCTCTCCGCAACAACCTCGCGACTATTACTTTCCACTTCATGACACTCAAAATCATTCTCACCGACTTGTTCTACAGGAACTTTTGCGGGAACTTCCGCATGTAGTTCCACAGGTGGTTCTACAGCCAGTTCCACAGCATTATCTTCAATCGTCATAGTCTGATCTTCCAACAAAACCTCCGGGACTTCCTCTGGGTTCACATCAACTTGTCGATCTGGACCCTTGTTGGGACTTTGCTGAGGCGACGGTAAGTCAATCGAGGGTGTCTTGCCCTTCTTCTTCTTCTTTTTGCTCGACTTTGTATTGGCACTTATTGATTTAAGAAGCTGGTCTTGCCGTTTGAGCGCAAGATTTTCGCCCTGAATACGCATACCCTCTTTTAAAAAAAGTTTGCCAAGCACTCCTGCAAGCTCTCGTCTACCAGTGTGGACACCCTTCTCAAATTGTTCTATTAAAACCTGCCGCTGGCGTACCAAGTCTTTGTTAGACTCAATAAATCTTCGAACTTCGCTCTCAATCGTCATGGCTTCCATAACCTCGCCCTCTTGCATAAGTGCTTCCAGACACACCAAACTAAACTTGCAAAAGAGCGCCTCAGGAAAAATCTTTTGGGTGACTTCGTATTGAAAGTAATGTCGCAGCGAGTGATAGCCGCTCTCTGCCTTTTTGATTTTCTTTCTAAATTCCTTGTTTGCCAGCTTTTCCAGTCGTCCGGACGTCCCCGGTTTGCAATCCTCGCGGTATGATGCCTTGAGCTGTTCTAGACTCTCACAATACGCCGCCACACGCTCTATCAGTTCGCGTTCTATCCGTTCCACCGCATCATCTACTTCTTTGGTTGAGTGCAGGCCTTTTAGGGATGCCGAGACCGCACGGCAGTTCTCCGTATGGCTTTCCTCCTTTTTTTCATGGCTAGCAATTCGATCCGCCATGTGCTGGATAGTCGGCACCACCAGATCCCAAAGTTTCTCGATCAATTTACAGATGTCTCTCAAACCCGGCAAGGCAAACTCATCTCTGAATGCCCTTGATCCGGCCGCCCATCTATCTACATGTGCATCAAATGCTTCCTCGACCTCTGTTATCTTTGCCCGCTTCTTCTTGAACCGTACAGCCCGCTCGGTCCAATATGCCGAAAATGGCACTAGTTTTTGTTGTTCCGCAAACTGATCTACGGTTTGCTGACAACCTTCGCCCATCAACCCATTCCTCTCTTTTTCAAGTACCAGCAGTCTCTGCAGGAATTCGCTCAAAGGTGCCCAGGACAAATCCAACGCCGGTGCCAGTTCTTCTAATACCGTCTTTGTTGCCTCGGCCATCTGTGAATTCAAAATATCTCGCTCTATTTCTAGTTCGGCTATCGATTTGTACTCTGGCCTCGTGTGTTTGCATGTTGCCTGTGTTTGGGAGAGCAAAATGTCGCCTGTCATGTTCTTCAGGACTTCAAAGCTTGTGGACGGCAAGCAGAGTGCCTGTCTTTCCATAATTAATTCGTCCAGGATCAGGGCTGGGTCTGATAGATCGTCACTGAGGGGGATTGCGTCTGGAAAAGGGTTGAACTGAATGGGCTCAAAGATGGTCGGTAGACCCGAAAGACTGCTCGGCAAAGTCTTCCACAATTCGCAAGCAGCAATGATATCTGTCATCAACGCCGTACTTGTGTCGGCATTAGATTCTAGTAATTTTTCGAATCGTTCGGCAAGTTTTGGTGATCTTTCCTTGCGTTTTCCGGGTAAAGGTGTCTGGAGCATGTTGATCTGGAATCGGCCTGCATTCAGGCTTTCGAGAGTATTATCATAGACTTCTTCTTGTGTTTTTGCACTCCACACAAAGTGCTTTTTGTAGATATAATGCGCCCATTCACGGCAATAATAACAGCGTGTGTCGATGTTGCAAACTCTGAATCTACCGAGTTCTTTGGACACAACATTTTGTTCGATTCTGAGTACTTCAATCTGTCTTTCTTTATTTCTCATGGTGAAAAGGCGGGATAAGAAATAAGATAATAAAAATAATAAATAAGGAAGGAATCTGGGAGTTGAAGTTTCGATGATGATGATGGGGGGAAAGGGGAATTGGTTGATCGAGTCTAGATTAATTAGTTTCCTTGGTTATTTATATTGAAAACGTAACAATAAATATCAAGGTTGATTAAAAAATGAATATGGTAATAATAATAAAATGAAATAAAGAAAAATAAATAAATGGAAATGGAAAATGGAAAATGAAGTTGGAGGTGACGTCAATTTAATGCCTTTTTTCTTCTTCTAAAATTCAGTAGAGCAGATGGAATGGAAATCAAAGTCCTTTCGCAAGTATAACAAATTCAACTGTCGTACAAGATAACCTTTTTCAAATCTATTGTTATACCTACACTCACGTCTGACCTCTTATATATATATATATTGGGCTATATTATCTTCTCTTTATCCACATATATACTATTCATACATATATGTATATATTTGCTCCAAATTATTAATACTAGTATTGTCTAATCACCAACGTAACATCACAAAAGAAACCATGAATCTGCCACTACATGTATCGATTAACTAATTGGTGCTAATGACCAAAATGAAAATGATGGTAATAATGCTTCTAAACATGCTTCTACAACGCACATTGATCAATGCGAGACTAGGGTTCCTCAATGGTTGAAACTCTTTCGAGTATGTCAGCTACTGCAAAGCTACTTTGTTGAGAGCAAGATTTATATCATACAAAACCGACGATATTTCCAAATTTTATCAAACTTCTTGAAAGTATGAATGTGTCCATCTTTGTTAAATTCTCCCTGAGTTTCTTCTTCTTTTTCTTATTTCACAAAAATCCTTGTATTAAACAGCTTTATCAGACTATTGAGAAAATCAAAGCACAATAGGTACTTCTGGTACGTCTAATGTAATATATATATATAAACTGTCAAAGAAAAACCTTGTTTCTGTTAAATCCGAGGATTCACAAAGAAATAAAGTTAATACATAAAATAAAATAAGGTTGAGAAGTAAAGAATAATGATGCTACTCTCTAAATAAAGCCATTTTTTTCATTTATATATATATATATATATATATATATATATATATATATATATATATATATATGTATATACTACAGCTTGTTCTGTGTGTACGCCATTTGACTTACCATCAAACGCAAATAATTATGGATAATGTCATCTACTTGCGAAAGTCTCTGACCCTAGAATTGATAGAGGGTAATTTTTTTATGGGGGCGTCTTGCATAATAGTTGCGGCATACATTAAAATGATTTACTCTTTAACTGTATTTTGAATCCTTTGTCAATAAAGAGAAGCTAATTGTACAATAGGTACCTCGTTAACCTAAAGTATGAAAACAGGAAGAAAGAAATAAAAATAGCCCATATGGACCGTATAATTCTCTTTTGGCTGGTCCTTTAATGTCGCTTTAATTGAGAGGTATTAAATATGTAATTCTGAATCTATAGTCAAGCTACAACATCAAACTTGACCACCAAAAAAAAAGTATATTTATACAGCAAAATCCTCTTTTGAAAAAGTATGTACGCTTTTCAATTCAAAAGCCTTATTTAAGACCTTTTATTTATATTTAGTAGTTATCTTCTTTTTCTTTTTATTCATTCATTCACATTAATGATGTTCAAGACCACGTCACTTTTTGTGACGGGTGGAGTATAAGTACAAGTCCAAGTTAACCAAGGTTTAACCATTTTACATTATTCATCGATCAAGATCATTGACATAATCTGCAATCCTAAGAAAAAGAAAAATTAATAAAAATGTCATTTACCCAAAAACGCTCATCGGATGGCCTGTCTGATTCTGATGATTCTTGGGAACGTGCAGCCCATTCGTTTCGGTAGGAGGGTGATTGCCACCAAAAGAAAAGAAAAGAAAATAAAAGAAAAAAAACCGACAGTCTCTTGCTACATTAGACATGAGCCTCCTAGCCTGTATGCTCGTCAAACTACAATTCTAGAGGCACAAAACGCCAAACTAGTGTAAGTAGATCAATAATAATAATAAAAATAATAAAAAATAAAAAAGATCTATAGGGAATAATTAGATTGACAAAACACAAAACAGTATCACAAGTGATATGCTTCAGAAACAATTAGATAAGGCCAAATCTGAATTGGCCCTACTCGAAAAAGAGTATGAGGAAGAGCACAATCGAATGAGCCAAATTAGCGCCGAGGTGAGAGGAACAGTCACCCCCCTCTATCAATTAGAAGAAGAAGAAAATACCTGTCTTATATATACATACATACATATATATCTATATCTATATCTATATTGTTCGTCTTTAAATCAATGTCTATTTAGTATGATGAGTCTGTGAATAGCACAGTTAATTTAGCACAAGATATCTTTGAAGTTTCTACCAAAGACAAAACAGGTAAAAATAAAATAAAACATATCTTTTAAAATAAAAATATTATGTGCGCCTGTAATTTGTCTAAGAGGCTTTCTTCAGCCCTTGTATCTCTCGATACTGATAGAACCAGCCTGGAGACTTATATTGCTGCAGATTCAGCTCTATCAGAAAAACTTCAGCATGCCCTGTATTTGTGGCATCGTCAACTTCCAATGGCAGAAGAAACAGAGGCAAGCATCTATATATATATATTACATCTGATAGTTTATTATTATTATTATTTTTTAAGAACTAATTAACTTTATATAAAATTTTCTACTATCTAGGACGCCTCTAAAGCAAGACAATGTCCAGCAATAGAAATCGAAACTATTGTAGAGGCGTAAGTAATAAGGAGTTTTTTTTTTTAATTTCATTCTGATTTCTCCTTTCTCCTTTAGCTTTCAAACAGTCGAATGTCTTAATGCCCAAGCTGAGGCTACATGCAAAGGATATGAAGCAAAGACTCAAACAATCGAGCGTGAGCTTCAAAAACTCAACCATCTACCTCAACTACTACCCATATTAAAGTAAATTCAAAATATCACATAATACTTTTTTTTTCTATTGTGGTATCTAATACTCCTTATTTATAAGTTCATCTATAGCTTCATACCAAGAAGAGACTAGACGGAGTCATCAAGCAGCAGTAAATACTCAAGAGAATGAACTGGAGCCGTTATTACAAAGAATCAGCAGCCTTAGTATCCGATCACCATTGACAGAAACTAATATCCGTAAAGATTATGAAACTATGGAGGAATTGTCTTTGCAGCTTGAAAAAGTAAAACTTTACACCCGTTCTCTGCAATTTATTTGATTTGATTTTCTTACTCACTCACTCTCTTTCTCTCTCTCTCGTTTACTTGTTAGATATGCCAAACATTACTTAATCAAAGGGCTTGTCAACAATTGCTGACTTTTGGCTATGAAACTGACGATAAACATCAAAAGCAACAACAATACGTATATCAGGCATTGAAGGAAGAACTCGAGGAAGAATACATTTCTCATCACGCATTTTTGGTAAGTATTTAAAGCAAGGAGTCTATATATCTTTCTACTTTTCAACAGAACTTTAAGTGATCGAATGTAAAACAGGAAAAAGCAGGTGCCTTGGATTGGCCAAACACAGGATTACAGGATCGTACAAATGCTACAGATATAATGGCATGGGCACAAGATTTACTGGGATTTGAAGACGACAAGTTACTCTCAAATGAATCGATCGTTGAGAAGGTCAAGGTTCTTTTACAAGAAAATAAAACTTGGTACAACCAATGGCTGAAAAGTCTTGACGCGCATATGGACGTGGTTGATAAATTGTAAGAGACAATACGTATAAAATATATACATACATATTGATTCTTTTTTTTTTTTAAAAAAAAAACAAGGGATGAAGCTGAGAAGCGTATGACCGATACTCTCTATAGCAATTCTGCCTCAACAAATGAGCTGATCTTACTTCCACAGGTAAGGAGATGTATTTTATTAAGTGATCTGATACACTATTAAAAAAAAACAATAGACATACACTGAGACTCAAAAAGAGTTGGAAAAGAGTACGATTGAACTTGGGAATGATGTAGCTGAATTGGAAGAGGTAAATACAAGCACACACACACATATATATATATGATTTCTATAGGTTCTGACATTTTGTTTTGAATATGTAAAGGAGCTTGAGCTCAGTACTAGGTTTGAACATAAAAAAGAGCTATTTACATTGTTCTTTAATGACCCAAAGGAATTTGAAGCTCACATCGCTTCTGCATCCGGTTCATAATGAGCTATATACATACAGTATATGTTATAATCCTTCTTATCGATCGATATAATGTATAAAGACTGTAATGACACACGAATTTACCTTTAATGAAATATTCTCCTTTTTTTCCCCTCAAGATACCATACCCTTGAATATGGCAGTGTAAAAAGCATAAAAAATAAATAAAGTAGTATATTATAAAAGTAACTCAAAATTAGACATTTTAAATGTATAAAGGCGCCCTTTTATTTATTTATTTATTACTTTATTATATAATTATTTTAAATTTGACTCAAAATATGAAAATAGGTTCAAGTAGAAAACAAAAGATGAAAAATAGAAGTCAAGGGCTCAATTGTGTTTTTACCAACCTTCTTTAATATTACAAAAAGTTGATATCAAATAAGCTCCAACTGGCTCGAGCACTGAATAGCAAACGCCCAAACTTTATACTTTATAGAGTCTTTTGCGTTGTTTACTTTAGGGAGTAGCTTGGTTTTATTGGTTATTTTTAAGAATGTCTATAGCCTCAGAAAAAGTTTACCTAACTAACTAACTAACGAACGAAAAACACTCGACTGTTGGTTCATGGCAAGACAGATAGAAAATTAATTAGATTTGTAGAAATCATAGTAATCAAGCATAATTATTATTATTATTATTCTTGGAACTTTAGCTTGTAATGCATGTCAAATAGTCTAAACAAAACAATGAATAATAATGTAAACAGTAAAATTAATGCCTTTACAGAAACCATTTATTTCTAACAACAATGTAATGTAATGTAATGGTTTGCTTAATACTAGTGCATTAATGACTCTGGTAACCTTATAAAAGCTATTAAAAATATAGAAAATAAAAGAAACTAAAACAGATATAAATGTAGATGTAGAGTCTAATGTGTATATAGTCACTCCAAACGTAAAATGCTTATGAGCTGTAATTTAAAGAACTATCCTTCCTTTCAACAAGTCTTATCGTAAAATCTTTTGGCCCAAAGGTAATGCCATGAGTATCCAAAGTATCCATACTGCAGTAAACAAGGTTTCCAAAAGAATCCAATCCGGGTTCAATAGTATGGCGAGAAAGAGTGCGTACCATGACATTAAATATTTCCACCTCGGCCTACATCAAACACATAGTGAAGTGAGCTTTAGGCTACTATATACGTCTTTTTAATATAAATACACTTTACCAAATAAATACCAGGGCAGACACGTCTTTAATTCAAGTGAGATTAGTATTCCATATATATATAAAGATTTATTCTACCTTGTATAACTTCTTACAAAAGATAAATAGTTTAAGACTGACCTTCCCCATCCAAAAGCATACATATCACGATCTTCAATCGCACCATTAGCAGAAGCAGACCATGTACGCATATCATCCAAGAAACGTTCTGGAATAAACTTTTCAGGCTCACTAAAGTTTTCTGGTCTCATATGCATTGTGTACATGCTCGTTATAAGTACGGTGTCTTTTGGAATAAAGTATTCGTGAAATTCAACTGTAAGAGTGTTAAGCAAAAAAAAAAAACAGGTTTTTATTACCATTTAATATTTCTTTTTAGAGAGCTTACTATCATCGGTTGAATATCGGGGAATACTAAAGTTGACCGAACTTCTAAAGCGAAGATTTTCTCTTAAAACTGCAACAATGTATGGCATCTCCTCACGATCCGAGAATACGGGCATTCGACCATATTTTGTAACAATTGCATCAATCTCAGCACACATTTTTCTTTGAATATCAGGATAATGAGGCAATATCCCAAAGAGCCAAGACATTGATAGAGATGTAGTGTCTTCACCAGCACTGATCAAATCGCCTGTTATTTCAATGATTATCATTACTACATAGAGTATAATAGATTTGATTAAAATGTACACATCAAATGACTTACTCAAAATAACAAGCATATCCTGATCATCTAAACCGTATTCATCTTTAAAAGTCATCATTTGCTTGGCCAGGCAGTCGACATCCCCGTCTACTGCATCAGCAATCAATTTCTTCAAATCTTGATCCCGGTGTTCAATCAATTTCTCTCTTGTATTTCCATGATAAAGATCTTCGATCCACGATAGACCAGGTAAAAAAGAAGTAAGATTACCCGAAGAGCCAACCAAAAGATTCCCCTTTTCTGTGTCTCGAATAATCTGCCTTATAAAAGGATCATCGGGAGATTGGGTAGTTTTTCCAAATACGGCCCTGAGGATTGTGTTGAATGTAGTCATCTGCAGGCTAAGTAGAGGGTTGACAGAACCGTGCTCTCGGCTATGTCTTCAATAGATTTCTGCAGTGGATCGACAAATTTTGACGACAAAACCATGAGAGCTTTTTTTTTAAAATAAATAAATATCATATATATATATCTTTAATAAGCAGACAAATAGATATATACATTTTGTTGCTCTAAAGCTTAATCGATTTCTTTAAAAGAAATAAATAAACACATCTTTGAATAACTTACCAACTGTCCGACTATTTTTCCATTTCTTGTCGGGTTGACTAAAAACAATACCTCTAAAGCAAAAAATAGAAAAGAAGTGTGAAATGAATATCATCATTTGGACGCATATAAGGCCTACCTTCCACCTTTGCTGTACATTTTGTACGAGAATTTCTGTGGATGGCGGCCTGAAGTGTTGATTCCATTCCGAACAAACAGATCGTGAGCAAGTAAAGGATCGCTTAAAAGAACCCAGCGTTGAGTACCCATTTGGAGACGGAATATTGGTCCTGTAAAATCAATAAATATTATTTGGCGCCTATGATCTATATCAAAAATTACACACAGCTTTCTTGAACTTATTACCTAGTTCTTGATGCAATTTTTCTAGTTGAAAACTAGGATTGTCTCCCAAAGACAGCATATGTCCTATTGCATTTTTTTTTCAAATATATACATATATTACCTTTAGATCACCCCTCTATCTCTTTCTCAAATTCAATAATCGATCTAGTAGTATTCAATACCGATATAAGGATACTTCTCGGACGGTGAGGGTATGTCTTTAAATCCCTCTTTGTACCAAGGGTCATTTAATCTTTGTTTCTGTTTAGAACTTGAGTATAGGCGATAGACATACTTGGCAGCCAGGCCCAACATAACAACTCCAAAAATTGGAATGATATGATTGCTGTCTTTAATTTTCAAGAGTCTATGACTCATGACAATATTATTATTCTGATTTGTTATTGTATTGAAAAGAGAAAGGTGCTGTGTATTTCAAAGGATTTATTATTCTTATTTTTAAGTTTAAATAAGGTGTCGAGACAAAAGCACACACTCAATTAATTTATAAATCATATGCCAACAGTCAAAATTTAACTGAATGAATATTCTATTATGAGCTAAAGCAGAAAGAAAGAAAAGAAAAGACAGTAAAATATTAGCCGTATATTTACACAACATCTTAAAGGTACATAAAATCGAAATATGTGTGCATTACTTTAAGTGCGATGATATATCATTTGCACACAACTTTATTCATTTATGCGCAAGATCCACTATAAAAGTAAAAAAAAAACGAACAAACAAAAAAAGGTTTCAAAAGTTATTGCTGTAATTTTAATTATCTTGACTTTCTCTAAATGAACTTCATTTTAGATTTTCATACATATATATTATAATCAAATAATTTTTATCATAATTCCTTCTTTCGCTAAACTCGTAGCAGTATCTAGATATATTTTAGAAGCAAGTCCGGTTTCTATGTCAACCAGACACAGGTATACAGCTTGGTCAAGGGACATACATTAGGACTGGTTAGGTTAATCTAGATACACGACTTGTAATTCATGTTTAGAGATTCACCAAATGCAACTTTCTGACATTATACATTTTAAGCTATGGTAGACAATTTCTCTTACTTTGCTTATTTAATTATTCTCTTTATTTATTTATGAATTACATATAGTACATCAACACAATATATATATATATATAACAGCCATACTTATCAGAAGAGTAAATCTGCAGAGAAGATGATAAGCATGAAGCCAAGAGACTATAAGCTTGGTTAGGCAATATTCTTGGTCTGGTGAATATGGCAGAGAATCTAGGAAAATAGATTATCTCAATCTGCTGATATTTTATTTTTATTTTTTGAGTGAGGGTGTATAGTAGGAAACCAATAAATTAATTGAAATGAACAAGGGGAAAGTAAAGAAAAATAGTTTCAGCTTTGTTTCAAGCACCATAAATTGCGGGAAGACTCAAAAAACAATAAAGAAATCAACTCGTAAATAAGCTGTTCCATAATTTGACTGACATTAATAGTTGGACTAAAATGATCAAAAAAAAAACCCCCGCCAAATTCAACAATTTCAACCAAACATTTTTTTTTAGTATTAATGCAATTTATTAGGTTTTAATAAGGATTTGCAATTAAAAGAAAAATAATGAATTAGATTTGTGTAAAGTGATTATTGAAAAAGGTAAGGAAAGTATATCCCACTACTCTAGGGAAATAAAGAAAGAAACATTTCGAATAGCCAGAGATTTCTTCAACATGAAAATCATAAAAGGAATGTCTAAACTAAACTAAACGAATTATATTTATTTTTTTCAGCTCTTTTGTAGCTTGTTGGATTAGAAATTCTTGATGATGGCGCTGGCCAAAACCTTGGCATCAAGAGAAGCGCAGGTCTTGAGGGTTGCCTCGATACAGTTCTTGACAGTGACTCCAACATCGACGCTGTAGCTTCTGGTGATATCAAGGAGAATAGGGATATGGAATCTGGCGTTCTTGATCTCAGCCTTGACGGTGGCATCGATTTCCTTGGACAACTTGACCTCAATCTTGGGAAGCTCTACCTTGAACTTGCCAATGATTTCGGCTTCAAGCTTAGCCAAGAGTTCGAGGAACTGCTCCTCGGTGAGAGTGAGCTGGCCTCTGCAGGTCTTACCCTTGAGCTCGGCTTCAATTGAGGCATAGATGGACGCATTCAGAGACGCAGTAAGAGTAGCTTCGATTTTGGCCTGGACAGATGCAGAGGTAGATGCCTTGAGAGAAACGATACGCTTATCGTGGATGCTGAGGAGACCACCGAGGATCTTGGCCTCAATGTCAAGTGAAGCATTGACCTTTTCGGTGATTGAGGTAGACAACTTCACAAAGAGCTTGGTGTGAAGCTGAGCCTTGATTTGGGCAATAACCTTGGCAGCGAAAACCTTGGTGGTAACGATGGGGTAGGTGGTTCTCTTTTCAAGTGAGTTTGGAACAATGGCAGCAGCGAATGTGTTCAAGTCGTGCTCAATGGAGCGGGAAACAAGGGCATTGGCGGCAGCATCAATTAGCTCAGAACTCTGGACGGAGTTGTAGGAGGTAGGGAGGGCGGTGGCAGTGATTGCAAAGAGTGAGAACACAACAGCACAGGTGGAGGCGATGGAGAACTTCATGTTAAGTGAGTGAGTGAGCGAGTAGAGAGAAAGAGAGAGAGAGAGAGTAGAGAGTGGGATTGAGAAAGGAAAGGTAATGATTTGAATGATACTCAAAAAAAATAGTTAATGCATGTCCTATTTATACAATTCTTTCAAAAGACTGAAACTGTTGCACGCACCTGTCAATGAAGATCTTGAACGATAAACACATATCTTGTAACATAAAAAGTAAGCTTGTGTTAATTGATGTTCTACAAAAATGGCTCTTTATCCTGTCACAAAATCCAAGCTGCTGAAGTACATAGAGAAAATATTATAAAAAATAAAGCAGGGTATATGTATAGATAATGACGAATGAATGTGCTTGATTGGTAAAGTTAGAAATGATGGGAAAGCCACTTGGGTCTATTATTGATGCAACACTCTATTCTATGTTTTCCAAAAGTAGGCATTTGGAGAATTCTTCTAAAAAGGATATATTATTTAGCAATGGAATAGAACATAAGGTCAAATAAAAAAAGCATATGGGCGTGTAACACTCCAGTCTACAAAAAATGAATGTGCTAGAAAATGGAGGAGCAATGGGCACATCTGTAAAAAAGAAACAGTAGGACAAATAAAAGCGGATCTGCAATCAAAAACAGGCGGTTTTGTACCTCCTCTGAATTTTTCCCGAGAAAAATAAACCGTAACCGTAACCGTAACAATAATCGCACAAATAATATAAATGTGTATACACATTATGATTGGCCGTATTTCAATTTTATTCTTTAAGTATTTAGTAGTGCAGGGTGCTGGAGTTTTGGAAGCCTTTCAATGTACTGGTTAGTGATCTGTATGGGTTTTGCAATCACTCCAAGCGACAAACAGTAAATTACTATGCCATCTTACATCTTAGTTTTTTTTTTACTCAAATAAACTTCCATAATATAACTGACATTCTACTATAAAAGTCGCTATTTACTTTTAATAAGACTTGTCAAGGTGTTTTTTTTTTGAAATTGACAATCATAGTCTAAGTGGGTATTATGGTTGTTGGGAATGGACAGCATAATTTTTGTCCAAACTGACAATTCGATTTCAATAACTGCAATTTTTTTTTTGGCTTAACGACATTTATTTTTCACAGTGACAATAGTTACCAGTAGCACTGTATCAACAATCATCTTTAGTTTCAACAAGCTACTTTCGTACTTTGGATAAAGAAGTCCAACTGTATTATCCTCTCTTTTATTCCCCTTGATTAACATATTTACTTGCTTAGAAAATTATAAAAACCGGATTTCTTTTTTTAAAAAAAAAGCAAAGCCCTGTATTTTCAAGTGTTTGGTTGAGTGTTATGCAACGCCAATAATAACTGTCGATAGATGTCAAATGGAAGCACGATATTAACATGTGTAGAGTTCATTGTACAAAGTACAATGTTTGAATATTTCTCTTATAATAAACAGTACTCTATGTATAAATTCTCCTTTTCAAGGCATTTGTGGGTGTTCATGAAAAATGCTTCAGCGTAGTACAATATTTCCAACATAGAATAAGACTAGTGTACAAACAAATGAAGTGCATGATTTTCATGGCTTCTGTTGGACTGTTGAATACAAAGCTGGGTAGATTTCCGGCAGCACAAAAAAAATACGTTTGGTATCAAAATATCGAAATTATTCCATGTGGATTTCGCAAGCGCCATAAAATATTCTCCACACTTTTCTACATGTGAATTTCAATTTCCAACAAGTTATACCAATAACCAGAGCTCATCTTTATTTCATACAATTAATATTTTGTAACATTAATATTCCATATACTTTTTGTTCAAATTGAACAAAAAAAAAAGAGCTATTTTTATAAAATAAAAATAAAGCTATTCGATATTTGGAGATCTGCGTACATCTTTTATGTAAACTAAAAGAAAGTTATACACACAGACGAATATCTTTCTTACTATACTTTTTTTGGGTGGCATAGTGGTATATGCTCCTATGATATTAATAAGAAAGAAACAATATATAAAGCGCTCTGTTTTTTTTTTGGCAAGAATAAGGATCAATAAGTTGATACTATTATTATACGACTTGTGAAACTATAAGCACATCATTTCTATTGATTTAATTTGATTGCAAGCTTTAGTCAGTAAACAAAAAAGTAATTAAAATAGATCTGAATATAGATAATACCAACACCATTACTATCATTAATATTTATAACAATCATCTCCTATTTTATTACTTAAGCAACCAAAGCTGTTTGTAATCATATAATCATTAGAATTCTATAATTATATATTTTTTGCTAAAAAGTTTTTCCAGTATTTCTTCTGCAGACTGCCAAAGTCATTCCAACTAAATCGAGGACTCTTTATTTCATCAACAAATACACTGTTGGTTTTTGTTACAGAAAGTATAGATAAGTTTTGATAGGGAGAGAATCTATGGTTACCGAGACGTCTTTTCTTATAACCATAAAAAGGCAATTTACTTTAAAGCTAATATGAAAAGTCTCTTATATTATCTACAAAACAAACTGCATTTAATTAGTTAATTGTATTGTAAGCTTCTATACAAAAAAAGAAGATCCTACTTTCTGTGAATATTGGGTTAGCTCCAAAGCTACCATTTGCTTGGAAACAATATTAAGAAACAAAGCAAAATGTTAACAGTTTCTACTTTTATTTATAATATTCAAAGTAACTTTCAAGCTCTCCAAGACGAAGGAGAATAATACTAATGATGTTATGTTTGGGAATTTTGTTGGATACTAGATACTTAAAACAATCAGTGGATCCAGACTTGGTCAAATAAAACATTCATTTATAAGCTATGTTTGGTTTGCGATATCTATATCTATATAAACTACCAATGGTTTTGCTTGTTCTAATGATAGTTAAGGATTAATGATAGTAATATTAATAAAGATGCCTAGCTTGATTATTTTATACGTTTCTTAAGACTATAAATAATGTACTCATTAATGTACAAATATGTTATACTTATTAATGACATGCTTATAAACATTTTTGTTAATTTTATTTTTCTATAAGTTTAGTAGATATACATCTTGATTACAAATCACAAATCAATCTCTGCCTAGTAATCAATTTCAGCTTTACTATAAAAAATTCTAAAGATAAATGTTGCGAGAATGATCGAAAGTAAAGCAAAAAAAAGGGCAATTTCCCTGCTTTATTTCTTCTCTTCGCCTGTCTTGTGCATATTTTTTGAAATCATGGCAATCATCTTGTTACCGACAATGTTACTATCTGAGAACCGGTCTCTAAAGAAGTCAGCGGTAGCAGTAAAGCGCTTCTGGTAGCCTTCCATACTACCGAGATCCACACATTCTGCCCATCCACGTGCGCAGGTAACGAACTCCATATCATCAGAGCGAATCTCCTTACGGTATAGTGCGGCTTGAATGGTGTCTTCCAACATCATAGGACTTCTGAACAGATACTCGGTAATACCCCTGTTTTTTTATTAGCATTATTAATATTAATTTCCAGTGATTTGGACTACTTTTCTTTTATATTTTTCCACTATACCATATGTATAGCTAGATAATGTATCTGGCTCTACTTTTCTTTTAAAAAGCTACACAAAGCAAAACAACTTACATCCACAATCTGAATAGGGGAGTTTGGCACACCATATGGTCATAAGGGTTAAGCTTCAATGCGTACCAACAATCCACCTGTACTCAGCATTTTCACAGCAAAAATCGAGGTTCAGTTTAATGAGTTGACGATTTATATAAAGAAATATAAGTTATACACTATTATATTAATATCAATATTATCTCAGTGCTTACCATAGCCAAGAGTGACAGATGAGAGTTTGGGATTCTAACATCAGACGGAATGTTGGACAAAGAGAACTCATCCAAAATTTGGTCAGACAGGAGAATAGGTACGTGATCTTTCTGGAGTCCACCAAATACATGATCTCCAGCCTGTACAACCACACATGTGAGATTCCGCAGCTTCTCTTTTTTTTTAACTACTTGTTTCAAGAAATCAAGTTACTCACAGCCTTGATCCTGGCGCGGAACTCGGTCTCTTTTTCTTGGATCATCAACTTGAAGAGATCTGCAACCGACTTGGCGTACTGGGCAATTTGAATTTTAGCAGTAGGATTCATAATGGCCAGACCTTTTGATTTTTTTATATGGATTTACAATTATATGGCGTGTTTAGTATTTCACTTTCTCTCTCTCTTTTTTTTTGTATCTGAATAAAAATCGTTATAGTCTTCTTACCAGCATAAACGTGCCATTTGTTGCTGTAAATGCGCAAAGCCACATTGACCTTGACGTTCTCAATACCGCCAACCAAACGAGGCAACAACCACTAAAGAAAAGCAACCGCACTAAGTCTCTTTCTCTTTTTCTTTCGCCTTACATATAAATAATGTAAATGCTCCTAGTTTACTTACAGGAAATTGGTGATTTGCTCTCCATGCACTTCCCATACTAAAGAAAGAGAGAAAAAATCCCACACCAACATTTAAAAGTCTCTTGGTTATATGACATGCATGTCTGCTACTAATACATATATATATCTTACGTCAAGAATGCTGCATGGGTGACAGCCTGTGTATCTGCAGTAATACGGTCGTGTTCTTCAGCGCTCAGATGAACAATATTTGATTCAAAGCATTCAAGAATATTGAGAACCAATTGATATTTTTCATCTGTAGCACGCTGGCGGATGACAACCAAAGGCTGGTTCTTAGGATCCACACCTGGACCATGCATAGAGTGACAAGACACAATATGGACATCACTAGGAAGGTACTTGACAAGTGCGTCGATCTCAGGTTGCTTCACAGAGGTCTATAATAATATATAAATCAAATTAGACCAAGGAAGAAAAATAAAACACTCTGTCTCCTTTTCAAATAAAATTAATATCGTATATCTCGTACCTGTCCACCAACTACAGCACCAATTTTGGAAGCTGATATTTACAAACAAACCCACCCACACACACATATATATATATATATATATACATATATACATACAAACGTTAATAACATATTCAAATGTAACGATATTTCTTTTTCTTACCAGGTCCATAGGTAGATACAACACTGTCAATATACTCTGCTTCGACAGCATACATAATCCAATCGCACCGACGAGATACATGAAATCCATCGGGAAGGACGTTGATTTTAGTGTCTATAAAACAAACAAGTCCCTGTCTGTCAGCTTTATGTTGTTTCTAATTTAGTTATATATATATTGACAATACCTTTAAAATCTTCCTTGAGGGATTCGTATTTCGATGGTAAATCACAAATATTAATACTAACAAAATAGTAGAAATGAGAATAACAAGAAAAAATTCAGTAACGAAAAAAAAGAGTGACATTGCAAAAATAAGTATGTTATTAATTCATAATCAAATAACAATAACAATAATAATAATAATAAAAGGATTCCTTTGGTGGTCATTCTATACTTTAAATGTCTGTCTTGTCTTTCTGCCTTCTCTTTGCTGCGTACTTTTTCCATCCTGCCTGGGACAGTTTGTTGGCGTAGAAGCGGCCCATGCCACCTGCACCAATAATTCCAATCTCAATCGTGTCCTTTTGGGTAGCCATGACTCTAGATGCAGGACATGTTGCAATGACAATTCTGGGTTTTGAATAAATAATTGGACACAATTTTTTTTCTTTGTTTCTCTCTCTCTTGGGGGACGGCAAAAATTTTAGCGAGATCAGTAAAAAAAAAATCATTGATGAAAAAAGAAAACCCTCCTTTTCCTAATTGAAAATGGTACCAAAGAACAAAGAACAAAGAATAAAGAAGGTGGGCAGATAATAATTATAATTATAATCATAGTAATAGTAAAAAGTAAATTCTATAATAAATAACTATTATATATATACACGCCGAAGACATAATTATATATTTTAAAAAATAGTATCAATAACAAATCGATGTACGACACATATTTCCTCGCCAGAGTTGGATAATCGGCTTATGGTGAATGTCATTAAAGTTAACATTGTCTGGTAAGCGGCTATTATGCAAAGCATACGATATCATGACAATGGTGTTAATTATCAGAAATCTGAGCTGGTTGGCTGTTATGTGTTAACGACACTCTTTCTGAAGAAACGACACGAGATCCAAAGGGCATTGGCTTTGGTAAGCTACTCTCTTCCTCTATAATTCTTTTGAATAATGTATGTCTTGTTGAGGAAGAATGTATATGGTAACAGAGGGAGTCATGTTTCAACTTATTCCAAAAATTGTCTCCCTAAAAAATTGTGTCCAAATATTTATTCAAGATCCAAAAAAGAAAGAAATGTACGAGAGACTCCTTGTTACCATCATGCATGCAGTCACTAATTCATGTTTCAAATAACTAACAAAAAAAGGTATTTTTCCATAAATAGATAATTTATGTTCAGGGGTTGAGAAAATAAGATGATTCCTTAAGTGTGTATTTATCAGAGTGGTTAAAGAAAGAAGAAAGCATTTGGTTTATTTGCATGTTTTACTTTAACAAAAATATTAATGGACTTTAGGATAGATTATGTATTGGTTTGAAGATTCAATTATTATTAGGTTAATCTATTGTGTATAAAATTAATAAAAAAAAGAAAAAATAAGAAAAAAAAAGATTATGTGTATAATACTAGTACTAATAAAGATGATAATTATTATGGTAGTAGATTTACTAGAGAATAATGTATTAAGTAGAAAAAAGAAAAAACTACATGAAGAAGTAAGTGCCTGCACAGTTGTAAATGATATATAAGTGGTATAGATGGTTTAAAGTAAAGGTTCAATGGGTTTAGATTTTCCGGCCTCCGCACGATCAAGATCATCAAGTTCTTCTTCCGAAAACCCTTCCTCAACACCACTGTCGCCTCTCTCGTCAACAGAATGTTTGTTGATTTGCTGGTTATCAATATCGAGCATAGTGTGTTTCAGACGTGCTTCCTCAGTCGCATCCCTGTAAACCTGAACCATGCACTCCATAGCTTCCCACCAAGAGTACCGTGAAGCTGATTTTATCGCATTATTGGACATGACAGTTCGGAGCGGAATATCGTTGATCAGAGTGATGATATTGGCTTTGTAGTGTTTTGCCTGTTCTTTAACAGTCAGCCCAGTGGTATCTAGTAGCAAGCCGGTCTTTCGGTGATCAACAAGGTCTCGTACACCTTCTGCCACAAGGCCCACCACTGGTAATCCCGATGACATGGCTTCCAGTACAACCTGACCAAATGTCTCTGTTGTAGAAGGGAACACAAACAGATCTGCCGACGAAAATGCTGTGGCAAGCTCGGTGCCTTGTAGGTATCCAGTAAAAGTAACAGGTATCTCTAATCGCTCGCACTCTGCTTTGATATCATTGTGTGCAGGACCGTGACCAACAAGCACGAGATGACAGCGTGCATGATCCAGTTGCTTATAAGCATCCACCACCAGCCCGATGTTCTTTTCGTACGACAATCGTCCTACGTACAAAAGGATCGTTTTTGGGGTATCCGGTTGACCAGTCCATTCGGCACGCAGCGAACAAGATCGATGTCGAGGTGAAAACAGGGTGGTATCGACGCCTCTAGGCCAGAGCCGCACATTTTGAAATTCGTGGTATTCCAGCATATCTCTTGTAGATGGTGAAGGACAGACTGTGTAACGACATCGGGAATGGCAGAACAAATTCCAACGCCACATCAACGGTGTAAAAATACCAAGGCCAAAGTGGCCACAGTAAGTAGCAAGATTTGTGTGGTACGAAGACACTACGGGAATATCCTGAAGTTTGGTATGGCAGATTGCAAGAGCTGCAGCCCCCAGCCACACAGGATCAACTAGATGAATGACATGCGGTTCGAATTCAACAAGTTTTCGTGTAAATTCAGGTCTCCATAAATTCAACTTTAGTTCAGGATACGGAAGGAACGGGATCCCGGCTGTCCCATACAATTCAGCACCTGCATAAGTCTCCATTCCACTCTCTGGTCCAAATACTGCAACACGATGACCCCCTGCTTGTAGATGCTCCAACAGGCGTGCTAATGTACGAGTCACGCCATCAACCTTTGGAAGAAAATTCTCGGTGACAATGGCGATGTGCATATGTTAGAAAATTAAAAAAAAAAGGTAAAGATGGAGGTGAGGATATGACGTCCAATAGACGACCAAAAAAGAAGATAGAAAAAAGAAGGAGAAAAAGAAGAAGAGATAGAAGATGAGTATATGTTTATGTGTATGTGTACACCATTAAACCATCACTTCTGTGACCGGAAACAAAACACCCCAGCCAGGAAAGATTGAGTCTTTTTTTTTATTTTTTTATTTGATTTGATTTTTATTTTATTTTTCTTTCTCTTAAATATTTACATCCTTATTTCTAATAAGATTTGTGTATTTTTATTTTTATTTGTAAATAATAAGCTTATGTCCAATAAGAATCTAGTTCTAACAAGAAATTTGACTTTCTTATTTTTGTTAAGCATAATGTTTTGTGTATAAACAGTGATTTTGATTAGAAGGAATCAGTCTAGGTTCTTAAAGCTTATTTAGAATTATTTCTACATTTGATAGCCCTTTCTTTTATATATAGACTTCCTTATTGAATGAATAACATAATATAACTTGCTGCCGAGCATTTGACTTTTTATTATTATTCCCGATATTCACGAACATTTAAAATAAGGTAGAGCATTTTGGGGTAGAGGAAGCTTGTGACTTGCTAGATGAAGCGACATGCTCCTTGTACTCTGTCCTATTGGCAACCCCATCATTCAGTGCACAACAGTGGCACTAAATCGTTCTCTTATTGGATAACAAATCTATATATCCCTAAAGACCATTACGATATCAATATAGTGTGCTCAACACAGGGTCAGCATGATATAAAGTCCAGCCACCTATTTTGTCTTTGCCATGCTCCATGTATTTTAATATATAAAAATAATATCTGAGGCATAAGTCCATTTTTTCTTTCTTTTTTGAAAAATATAATAAGAGGCAATGCTTTACATGGTTACTAATTCTTATGATCACTCCTAGCAATATCCAATAATTTATTTTTTGAATATATATATCAAAAATCAATAAAACTATATAGGAGGACAGAGAGCTTAGCTTATCTGCAAAATATTATGCAAGACGAGTCTTATTTTTAACTTTCAAAAATATTCCGACTTGGATAAACTATAATTAGTATATATGTCTACAAATCATTGTAAGCCGCCTCTGCAAATTCTTATTTTTTATACACAAATATCTATTGAATTCAAAATATATCAATTTTAAGCAATATATTTTGAGTAATTGCATCTGAACAAAACAAAGCAAAAGGCCGATATACAAATAAACTATAGCAATGAAGCAGCTGCAATAACCAGCATGTATCAAAATTCCACTCCACTCCACCAAATTTAATATGAAAATGCGCTTCTTTTATGACATCCATTGCTTGCTACTCGATATACCCCATGTCTATCAGCTTATCTTTAAAGACTACAATATAAAAACTGCTTGTACATTTTAGCAAATTACTTTTATACAGAATAATGGAGAATGTATGTTGTAACTGTTAACAATTGTTCACTCTTCTTATTGGAGTTCAAACCATCTTTTGCACCGTAAATATAATTGCACACATGTGTATACAATAATAGATGGAGTACCCCAAGTATTCACTGATATTCAAAGTACAAAAAGGCTTATAGGTAAAGATGCTTGTTTCAAAAATACTTTCAAATTGAACTTTTTTGTACACACTGTAAATACAATGAGGACATTTACTTGTATATTCAATTCACTACGCCTTTTCTGTCTCTCTTTCAAACACACATTTCTTTAATCATTTTATCATTTTATTTTTTCCCATATCTCTCTTTCTTTCTCTCAATCCAATGCATGTCATTCACAATGCTCATCCAGATTAGCCCACTTAAATTATACATTTCACGCCATTGGCATTCTCAAGAACTATTCTGAGTTTTCTTAATGGACTTTATAGATAAAAATGACCTATATAATCAAACACGGTAATCAACACAATGATAAGAATACCCATATTATATTATATTAATCTTCAGACTTATTTAACTAGATTAATTTTTCTTATTAATGAGACTTCCTAATTACAACATTAACCTCTTCAATCAAGTAAAAAAAAAGTTTGAACGCGTATTTTTTTATTAGTCAACAACAGTTTAAAAATTATTTTATTTATTTATTAAAGATATACATAAAGAAGCTATTTTATTTTATATGATTTCACTTAATGTTTTTTTACTAATGTAAAAAAATAAAAAGCATGACACCAAGTTCTTTGTCCCCGCATTACGCGGCTCAATCTCCCTCAGGACGTAAACCTGACTTGGTAGCGAAGGAGGTGTGGGAATGGTGTTAATCCGTGGCGTAAGACAACAACCGGGTTCATCCCAACTACCCTATCTCATCACTGAGAAGGGCCTGCGAACGTACCAGAGAAACCTACCACAAAGTAGCAGGGTCCAGCGTGTTCGACTACCAAGCAACACCGTCAGTTCCAGAGAGCTTCGAACAAGGATTTCATGAAGAGTCGGCAGTAAACTCCACTTCCTCCCCGTCCTCCACTCAATAAACTTTCATGATGCTAACTCGGCGGCAGCTTTTTTTAAACATTGCTCGTCGCCATTGTTTCAGAAATTATACAATTAAATTCACAATTCAGAACAATGTTGATCTGCGCCTCTAAGAATTAACTAAGAAGCTAGAGACGACGCACTTCCGCTTTTTCCTGCACAGAATGGAAAAAGAATGTCTCCCAATCACCCATAGGTAGCGCGTCAAACTCAACTACAGGCAATCAGGGGGTACCCGTCTCCAGAGTATAAAAAAAGCTAAAGAGAAGAAAACCGTGTCGGTTGAATGGGCTTTATTTTGATATACCCGCAGTCTGCGACTAAAGTTTGGGTCTGCGCTTTTTTTTGCCAGGGGTGTTCTTTGTCTCCCACGTCAGAGCAGTGACATAGCTGTATACTCTTTTTAGTAGGATTGTATAACTGTTCTATGACAGTAGTAGCAGCTTATAGATTTAATCAAATAAATGTTGCAAAGTGAAGTAAATTAGAGCAAAGAAGCAAAGAAGTAAAAAGAGTAACGAAGGGTTTAGTTTTAATCGGTATAGAAATAACTCTTAAAGTGGAGTACAAGTTTCTATAACGGCGATTCGTAGGTTACTCTAAGCTGGTCTGTGCACTTTTTATTCGAGTGTACAAAGAGATTTGCTTTTCTTTTGCTTGTACAAGTAGACATAAATGAGACCCGCAAGTCACTAGGAGATAAACTTATAATATCTCAAAGTGCTATAAGGGTATTAGGTAGAAAAGCAAAAAACAAGATAAAAAGTATAAATGTATATTATCTGAATTATCACAATATGGTAGGTGGCGGAATTTTGAGTTCGAGATTGAGTTTTATTGAAATGAGGTTATATCAATAGTTGAATGTGTGGTATACACACCACAATTGAGTAAAGAACAGACTCCACAACTAAACATTGGTTCCTTCTTGCTAATGAACCTGGTAAGCTAACAATCTCCGGAACTGTTACACACCTGGCACATGTACACTACACACTCATACAGTGTAAACCAACCATTACACAACAGGAATTTTAATGATAACGGACATAATCAATATTATTTTGTCTCTTTAATAAATAGCACTCTCACAGTATCCACTTTTCCATATATTCAGATATTAACCATAAAAAATCTCGAATACTTCATTGTAAACTCTTCTGATAGCTTTGGCCCCTTTATCGTTACATTTGATTATGAATTGTGATGAATTGAGCTGAATTACACCCCTTCATTGACTCTTTGGCAAGGTTGGTTTATGATCTGGAATATGTGAGCCAAAGCCTAAACAGACAAGATATCTGATAATTGTCTCTCTACAGATGAATATTTTTATTTACTTTAAAGAGGCTCTTCGCCTAGAGTATGCGGCAAATCGGGTACTTTCGAACCACTTGCACAAATTATATTTCTGTCTTCTCACTAATCTTTCTAGGTCCTACAAGCCGCTTTCTTGGGTCTGAAGATTTTATTTTAACTATTCTCTTAATGATGTACTTGACATTAGACAGGCTCATGCCAACAGCCGATGAAATCTGAATTACTTTGACATCTGCTTAATGCATGTACACAATGCATTCGTCTTAGTAGGAATCCTATTTCTCAAAAGGAACATGTGTGTTTTCTGATGATGTGTCTTGCATGTTGGATTAGATTATTAAAATGAGCAAGAAAACAATGCTCATGCTTTTATTTTTTGCGGGTGTCAAAACGCTTTAGATTGTGAGTCTTTAATCTTTTGACAGAGTAATTCAAAACTAGAGTTGACTTTAATAGATAGATTTCCAAAACGCGTATAATAATATTATATACTATTTCACTTCATTTGTTTAAATAAAGTATATGTAACTTTGATTTTATTAAGGTCTTTTATATATTGATAAAAAAAATTAAAAAAAAAAAAACAATTAAAGTCGGTGAACACTCAAGCCTAGAGCTTTGCTGAGCTGGTTCAAGGTGGTACCTTGGCTTTACTTTATCTAAATATTCAAAAAAAAGTTAAGATTAGTATATTGTCAATGAATGTTTTTATTTATTTATTACATACCTGCTATAAATAAAAATATTGCTTATCTTGAGGTATGGTCAGCTCAAGATTCTCTCGCAAAAACGAGAGAGACCCGGTTGGAGATTATTATCACCTTAATAAGCCGCTAGGCAGATAGAGCCACTGGCTAGCACACAAAAGTGTAAGGTGTGTTCGCCACTACGTCCCACCAAGCGTTTAAGTCAGAAAACCCTCAGAGTTTCCCACGTTTTGTATAAGAGAAAAAAAGCAGCATCCGCCATCGACATTACAATCAGATTATGCAACAGGACCTCTTCCCAACCGAGGTTGAGAAATTAAGGCCGCTTACAAATGCCACGTCATGCGCAGAAGACTTGAGATGACTACAATCTAACATCGAACACGCATGGCAGAAAACCCTCAGATCCCTACGAAATACGCGAGGCATAGACTGACAAGCTCTATACCGCATCGATAATTAAGCATAATTACCGGGACCACAGCTTATTATTGACTTGCATCTTTGTACAAGATAGAATGATAATATCTGATTTTACTGTATCAATTAAAATGGAGAAGATACAAACCGCGAGTAAAGAAGAAAATTAAAAAATCCCATTCACTCCCCCGTTTTAAAAGAAAATTTTTTTTTCTTCAAAGCCATCTGGGCGTAAAAGTAAAAGTCACGGCGCATAAAATAAACATCAGGTTCTGAACAAAAAATGCGCCCATATTCTTTTATCAGCATGTGATATATATAACCCTCTCAAAGGATTTGTTTATTTCTGAGTGAGAGATATTAAGCTGTTTATATGTGAAGACTAATATTTACGTAGCATACAACTTCTTGCTAGAAATATACTTTCAAAAAACGTATATATACTTATTAAATCATGTAACTTGGAATTTCAATGTGGAATCCAAATAATTGGTTTATTTAACAACTCCATTTAAAACATCTCTACGACTCGAATATTTATGAAAATAAAATAAAAAAGAAATAAAAAGTTAAAATGTACTTTCAAATGCATTATTACAAGTAAACCAATCAATATACAATAACTGTAATTGCTATTATGTTTGACTCAATTATATAACGTATTACTTATAAGAATCGTTTTGCAAAATAGTACTTCTTCACTGGTATTTGAGAGGCTTATATATATCACATGCTGATAAAAGAATATGGGCGCATTTTTTGTTCAGAACCCGATGTTTATTTTATGCGCCGTGACTTTTACTTTTACGCCCAGATGGCTTTGAAGAAAAAAAAATTTTCTTTTAAAACGGGGGAGTGAATGGGATTTTTTAATTTTCTTCTTTACTCGCGGTTTGTATCTTCTCCATTTTAATTGATACAGTAAAATCAGATATTATCATTCTATCTTGTACAAAGATGCAAGTCAATAATAAGCTGTGGTCCCGGTAATTATGCTTAATTATCGATGCGGTATAGAGCTTGTCAGTCTATGCCTCGCGTATTTCGTAGGGATCTGAGGGTTTTCTGCCATGCGTGTTCGATGTTAGATTGTAGTCATCTCAAGTCTTCTGCGCATGACGTGGCATTTGTAAGCGGCCTTAATTTCTCAACCTCGGTTGGGAAGAGGTCCTGTTGCATAATCTGATTGTAATGTCGATGGCGGATGCTGCTTTTTTTCTCTTATACAAAACGTGGGAAACTCTGAGGGTTTTCTGACTTAAACGCTTGGTGGGACGTAGTGGCGAACACACCTTACACTTTTGTGTGCTAGCCAGTGGCTCTATCTGCCTAGCGGCTTATTAAGGTGATAATAATCTCCAACCGGGTCTCTCTCGTTTTTGCGAGAGAATCTTGAGCTGACCATACCTCAAGATAAGCAATATTTTTATTTATAGCAGGTATGTAATAAATAAATAAAAACATTCATTGACAATATACTAATCTTAACTTTTTTTTGAATATTTAGATAAAGTAAAGCCAAGGTACCACCTTGAACCAGCTCAGCAAAGCTCTAGGCTTGAGTGTTCACCGACTTTAATTGTTTTTTTTTTTTTAATTTTTTTTATCAATATATAAAAGACCTTAATAAAATCAAAGTTACATATACTTTATTTAAACAAATGAAGTGAAATAGTATATAATATTATTATACGCGTTTTGGAAATCTATCTATTAAAGTCAACTCTAGTTTTGAATTACTCTGTCAAAAGATTAAAGACTCACAATCTAAAGCGTTTTGACACCCGCAAAAAATAAAAGCATGAGCATTGTTTTCTTGCTCATTTTAATAATCTAATCCAACATGCAAGACACATCATCAGAAAACACACATGTTCCTTTTGAGAAATAGGATTCCTACTAAGACGAATGCATTGTGTACATGCATTAAGCAGATGTCAAAGTAATTCAGATTTCATCGGCTGTTGGCATGAGCCTGTCTAATGTCAAGTACATCATTAAGAGAATAGTTAAAATAAAATCTTCAGACCCAAGAAAGCGGCTTGTAGGACCTAGAAAGATTAGTGAGAAGACAGAAATATAATTTGTGCAAGTGGTTCGAAAGTACCCGATTTGCCGCATACTCTAGGCGAAGAGCCTCTTTAAAGTAAATAAAAATATTCATCTGTAGAGAGACAATTATCAGATATCTTGTCTGTTTAGGCTTTGGCTCACATATTCCAGATCATAAACCAACCTTGCCAAAGAGTCAATGAAGGGGTGTAATTCAGCTCAATTCATCACAATTCATAATCAAATGTAACGATAAAGGGGCCAAAGCTATCAGAAGAGTTTACAATGAAGTATTCGAGATTTTTTATGGTTAATATCTGAATATATGGAAAAGTGGATACTGTGAGAGTGCTATTTATTAAAGAGACAAAATAATATTGATTATGTCCGTTATCATTAAAATTCCTGTTGTGTAATGGTTGGTTTACACTGTATGAGTGTGTAGTGTACATGTGCCAGGTGTGTAACAGTTCCGGAGATTGTTAGCTTACCAGGTTCATTAGCAAGAAGGAACCAATGTTTAGTTGTGGAGTCT